ACAACTTTAATCTAATTTAACTTTACATTTAGTACAATTTTCAATTATTTCAAAAGGGAGACAGTAAACAAAGTTTCATTCAATTATTTTTTGACATAAACGGAAGACCCCCCTTAAAAGTGAGGCCAGGCGTTGCATGGATGTATACTTGCTAGAATATGGCGGTTAAAGTAGTCTAATATATTATTGACATATTGTTCGTGCTGTAAAATTCGATGAGTAACTCCATGTATGTATACAGGGCTATTAAAAGAATACGCGATAATTTCATACATGAAAGGATCGGTGAAAGTTTAGGGACGCTAATGATATGTATTTAATGGGTTGTAATGTTAAAGGCACGTTTCACGCGGGGCATATATGTAGATTTATTATTATTCAATGATGCAGTCATCTGTTTGAGATTTCCCTTCTCACCGGATAAAGCTTCCGGTATGCTCGATAAAATGATAGGTGTCATCAGCGAGGAGTGTTTTCCAATGCTTTTGCACGCGCTCTTATCACAGAGATGAATCACGGGCCAAATATTTGAACGCTTCTGAAGCAGACATAAAGGTTGAAATTCGATTAAATGCAATTAAATATTGTATCATTTATTCACCGATTATTCGGAACGGCGTGTTAATTTGACGAGATTAATCATAAAATTGATAACTGTGTAATTAATAAAAATATATAAACAACTTTTCGCTCCTTCTTTCAGTTTATAAACTACAAGTTTATTATTCGAAAAAGATTTATACTCATTCACCGACGATATTAAAAGCCGTTAGAACCGCCGAAAAGGACGCAAATAGTGTCGGTTCCAGGGTTAAAGGGAACAATGCATTACTCCCTCGAAGCTAATTCGCAGGCTCCTAACAAAGTTTGATCAAGTTGAACGTAGTTTGACGTGACAAACGGCACCAAGTGTACAAGCTTCTCAGAGTTGTAATCCCATTGTACAACAAAGGACCCAATTTAGGGCGAAAAAGGTGTACATATTATCGTCTCGAGTAGTTTGTAGATGCTTGACGATGTCGCGAGACGTGGAGAGTTAGAAACCCCGCGGTGTTTCGGTGGAACGCGACGCGACAACGTGAGATTTGATTAAAAAATTCGTCGATGAGGCAAGGTTAACGCGAGAAACGTCCCCTTGGTCACGGTACCACACGGTGCAGGAAGAATAGAATTCGGTGAAGGAGAGTACGAGAGAATACAGAACGGGGGAGGGGAGGGGAGAAAGTGGGTCGCTCGATAACCCTCGCGGGGGCCAGGTTCTATGAACCAAAAATTCTAAATTTCAACAAACTGCACCGACCGACCGATCCTGATCGATCCTATCAAAATGATTGGGTCGTTTGCAAGGAAGAAAACTACCTTTCCTTTCCCACTCCACATTGGGTCAACCTGTAACATCTACGCACGTTGCGGACATTGGCACGCACGACGGGATTCTGTTTCTTTAGGGTTATCGCTAAATTATCGGAACTGGTCAGCACGTATCGCTTACGTCGCTTTCACAATATTTTCGAGTATAAATCTTCTCGACTAATTCATTAAAATATTTTTCGTTCAGCTGTTTGTAGATAAATTCGACGTAAGACTGCACAAGAATATCCATTTACTATCTGTCGCAATGAAAGTCAACATTGAGGTTAGCTCGTAACAGAATCGAACAATCTCAATTAGATTCCGGAAGTGCTCAATTTATTCATGATAGAATACTGTCCTGGTGCCAGGTTTTGGGATTCCATCTACGTATTTTCCGCTTGGAAACCTATCCAATCAGCCAAACTTCCAAAGCCAAATTTCGTCCAATGCCTGTTAGAAAGTTGTGGCTACAAGTTTCATGCAAGATTTGTTATAAATAATTGGCTATAACAATTTGACACAGGTTATACTGCAAGACTTGTCAATTTGCTTTACCAATTTGTTAGCTGGCGTTACCTGCGAAACCGAGGCTAAATGCGGAAACAGATTGCTATGGTTTTTTTACACAACTTTTGTCATTTATTTGCTGGCAATTTGCTCGAAACTTGTACACAACTGGTTACCAGGATATATTCGTCGTTTGTCATTTAAAATGTAATCAAGATATCCAAGCAAGAATTTCGAGTAGGTAGAGCGAGTTGTTCTGTTCACAAAACCCGACATTCTTCCGGAGCAGCTTTAAGCCCTCTTGAGGCTTTTTCTCGACGACGTATTTTTTGCCGTTTTCCCCCCTTAGCCCACACAAAACCACATATCGTAGGCATCAGTATTTTTAATCTCCGTCGTCGTACAAAACATCATTCGAGTACCGCTAAAAGACAAAGTGTTGCTGTATCGCGTGATAAAGAGCAGTAATTCCGTCCGTTTCTTCCCTAACAATGGTGTACCCTCACAAGCAAACTCGGCTTCCACTAAGGGAAAAAAAGGCGTAGAAGAAAACTCGCCTACTACTTGGTAAATTTATCCTAGGTATTGAAATAAATGTTAAGTCGAATATTAATTTGGCATAAATTTCGGTAATTCCAAATACCAAGAGGTAGGAGCATAGTAGGAGGCCCTTCTCCCACGTAACCTTTTCCCCTAGCGGAAACTGAGTTTGCTCGCGAGGGTACACCCACGAGCAAAATCAGCTTCCACTAAGGGAAAAAAGGCGTAGAAGAAAACTTTCCTACTACTTGGTAAATTTATCCTAGGTATTGAAATAAATGTTAAGTCGAATATTAATTTGGCATAAATTTCAATAATTCCCGATACCAAATTTTAAAAGGCCCTTTCTCTGCGCCATTTTTGCCCCTAGCGGAAGCCGAGTCTGCTCGTGAGGGTACACCCCCCGTAGGAGGCCAGCAACTTCCGTCGACCCGTTTCCTTACAGCGTGGCCGATTTACTTTTCTAATGAGATTCAATTTAGAAATTGAGCACGCTCGGTGGTGTTTCGTGGAAGCGCCGTGGAAGTACCACAAGTGCCCAGAGCCATCGTACGAGTTCCCTGACGAGAGCATTTGGAACACCGTAATCCTCTACGGGGACAGGATCCGAACGCGTGTCCGTCTTGCTTCCAGGCAAACTGCCCTCGTTCGCGACTATTCCATAGCGACGGAAATTTCGTCGGTCGAAATTTCGAGGTTAGACACCATCACGATGCAATTATAACTATTTAGTTAGATCGCGATCGATGTATAAACGTGAAAAACTTTTGAAAATTTAGAAATTCAGAAATAGACTAATTTCTTCACTTTCATATCGTAATAAAAAGTGCAAAAAGATCTGAGAAAATGTATTGTCGTAACATTTTAATCGTCATTTTGACTTGCTTGGTAGTTCTAGTATTAATTTTCTTTTTTTTAAACTTATTTCGATCTAAGACATTTTGCAACCAACGTTCTAAAGTTGTTTGTGAAAGCTGTTTATGACTCGACCATAATATGTTACTCATCCTCGACAAGTTATTTTATCATTTTCCCTTTGTGCATCTTTCGTTTATTTCTCTGTGCCAGCTTACCGCATTGTAATTGTCCATTGAAGTTGTTTTTAGTATAAACAAAAACGGGATGACCGCTTGGAATTGCGAGGGACCAAGCTATCAGCCACACGGAAGTTCCATCGTACCTTTTATGTAACCCCGAAAAATCAATATCGTTCTCCGTTTCGACATTCCTCGCGACTACCGATCCGCGAACGGAATTCCAGCTGGAAGTTTTTAACGGTCCGATGCTCGGGAAATTCGTGGATCAGTGCGAAAAGTAATGCCGCATCGAATCGTGTTTCCATCGTTCGATAGATACCAACCCACGGTTTTCTCGTCACTACCGCATTGCGCTCTGCAACGCGCGCGGCTCTTTCGAAAAGTCAATCATCCAGTTCGATTGTTCTCCGATAATGGCCGTTTTACCACGGCCAGATTCGATTGAGACGACCAGACCTATTCGTTCTCGACTACATTCGTGTCGTGTAAAACGGAAGTTCTTTGGTATTTTCTCTTCAATCATCGAAATGAAAATAGTATCCATCGAACAGACAGAAATTTCTTTTCATCCAATTCTCGGACGCAATTTTGCATCTGTCCGTTACATTGTTAGATGAGAATTTAATCAATCGACGAAACGAAAAATATACAATTCTGAGTTCAGACGTGTTCGCATGCGCTCTTTGAATAGAGCGAAAAATCGCGACAGGAACAACAGGAGGACGGATACCGGTAGATCGATCGGTAATTCAGTCTAGATCAGAAACTGGGTCGCTAAAGTAGGACAAGTCATTTCGTTTCGTAAGTTACTATTAGGGTTAAATAATTAGTGGTTTGCGAAGATGTGAAATTCTGTAAATTTTAATGGCCCAAGGTCATAGATTACAGGGAATCTGATGGAGGCATCGTCGAGCCTCACAATATACTGATAAGTTCAGTAATTGTATACGGGCATACAAAATTTGTTAAGCATCTTTACGTGGGTTGCAAGTGAAGATACCATTCAGACTCGGAGCAACCTACAGCTCCCTACTAACAAACAAGATATCTCGTAATTAAAGCACAATCCAAAGAATGGTGATTCCATAAGAAAAAAATAATTCGAATCTGTAGAAAATTCGTTTTCCCCATAGCTTTCGTTCGCCTGGAGAAAATTGAGTTCGAAATTTCCACCGAGTACGCGTGCACCGAAGTTACCCATATACTAACGAGTATACATATACTGTCGAAGCAATAGGAACGCTCTACGCCACTCGTGAACCGAATTTTCTCCGAAATGAAGAGAATTAAAAAATTGTTTCATTCTACATCTTCGATTCATTTTTTTCTGTACAATCTGACCACTGTTCGATTTGAACCACAGGTTATGGGACACCTCCCAAATAGCGCATGACGCCTTAAAGACGGCTTAAAGACGCCTTAGACCTAAAATAGCCGTAAAATAAGCGTCTTTAAGGCGTCATGTGCTGTCTGGGCTATATACATGACGGACACTCTACAATGACAAGCCACGTAATGACAGACTTTGACGTCTAATAGAAACGACAGAAGATCTGTACTCACCGTGATAGACAGACGACAGCAAGACCACGAGGACGAGGGTGACGATCAGCGCAAGACGATTTCCAATCATGATCACGATCACCGGACCATGTGTTTCAGCCAATCACACGTTGCAGTCAGTCACTTCGGACGTGTTCCCTCCACCCTCGTTGCATGGAAAGTTCACACGCAAGTCGACGGGCCCCCCGATCCGGTCGACAAGTTCCCCGTTGGACCCACAACGATCGTATGTCGACGGGCCGAGTGTGACTCGACAGGGAGAATTAATAATTCTTTCGGCAGTCTGTTCGAGACAGATACGAATCGGAGTCTGATCTTTCGTCCCCCGTTTCTCACGTTCGAAATGACTGAACGAACGCAACGAGGAAACCTTGTTCTTTCTCGCGTGGTGCACCGTGCGTGATCGCGGACGCGTCGCGTCTGACGAGCACCCGACGACTTTCCGTCGGTTATGCGGCAGATCTGCCCCCTCTGGTTTTTCCATGCGCTTTGCGTCCACCCGCCGTTCACCGCCGTACCCCCGCCACAGCCCAGGAGCCAATTTTCGTTATCAAGGTACATATACCGATTTTCGCTATTGTTGCTCTTTTTCCATTCACTCTTGGTATATTACTCTTATGATAGAAAAATGTTATTAATTTTGTGGTGAAGATAACAATCGTAGGAAAGGACATTCCGATCAGGTGGAATGGTAGTGAATCGTATCAGGACGAAATTTGTTATTCTACTTTGATTTTTGGAAATGTAGGCATATTGTTCTGGTTTGAATATACTCGAGAAAGTTTTTAAACACTTTCGATTAACAATGTAGCGGTTTTTTTTTTAAGGGTTTTAGTACGCTGTTTTGATTTCTTTTTGTTGGAGGATAATCTCGAAAATTATGTAATAGCTTCAACGATTGCCGATACTAGTGACTGTAATTTTCTGCGCAGCTTCGAATGGAAACGGTATCCGAAGCTGTGTTTGCATTTAAGATGCGAAGAGATGATGCTGAAACGTGTGTTCGGACTACAAATTGTAGTAGAGCTAGTAGTAACGGTCGCTTATAAGCAACTCGCATGCAGTAGTAAATGTTTGATATGGTCAGACGTAAGAGGAAAGAGAATGGTTTACGTATTGCATTATTCTATCGCTGAGAAGAATTTTAAGTAAATATTTAATACTGCCGTTTGTTGGTTTATTAATGATTTATAGTCGATGGTCTTGTGAAATAGTAAAATAATTATTACAAAACTATTTCCTTATTTTTCGGATATTGTAGGTTTGACAGATATTTGAAATGCCACTTATCGTAGACATTATACATATACTACTTTGTGACTTAATGGATCACTATAAAATATTTTTTCTAACGTATTGACAATTAAGTAAATGTTTGTAAGTATTTAATTGTTACTTTAATTGATGGTTTAGGTAATTCAGCTTTTACAGTATAATTTGGTTTCATGATAAAAATTTATTTAATAAGCGTACAAAGCTTTCTCTTGACATTGATTTTTTTTATTGTAAATACACTATATATAAAATAAAACAATGATGATAATGTACAATGCAGTTATACATTTGCTCGCAATTAATTCCTAGATTTCTATACAAGAAGTCAACGAGGATATCGTAGAATGAAAGTTAAGAGAACATTTTTTTTTTTACAATTTCCCGAATTTCTTTAGAGAAAAGGAATGTCTGGCAACGTTACTAACAAAATAAACAGATAACACGTCTAACGCGGTTTCGTATAACTATTCCCTATCGAGATATACAATATCGATCGTGATATTTCTTTCTCAATAGCATTCGTAAAGTAATTTGACTAAAACATGTGTGACGTCATGACACGGTACTCAACAGGCACGTTCAGTATAAGTACTAATCTTATTCCAGTCTCCTATAATAAAAGATACTTAAATTTTATTAAAAAGTATATCTCGTTCAACACAAGCTATATTTATTTACGAATTTCCATATATATATGTATATACTTTTTCCATTTCCCTTGAAATAGAACTACAAAACATTGTTTAAGGCCAATTATTTGTTCAGGAACTAGTATGCCAGATTAAAAAACAGTACAGCTTCAGCACGAAACCGAAAACTGCTATATAGGGTTGGTCACTAAGTCAGTCTACCTAACATTTCATTGCCAGTATAAATAGAGTGGGAAAACATTGATAATGTAATGGCAATAATTTCGTTGCGAGTAAAGACGTGACACTTGAAGGTTAGCATTTTTGTTGCACTAGAATAATGTCATTGAACAAAATAATCGTAAAATGTTCTTTACGCCTCTATCCACAATGAAATTAGTAAGACATCTTAAGTGGACAGAGTTAGTGGTTTACCCTGTATACAGAATGATTTTGATAAAGTGAACGGTGCAATTATTTTCAATATTTATGTATTTACTGAAACATTTCTCTTGTATCAACAAATTTTTTCTTTAATCCGTTCATAACACGTTCCGCACCCGGGACATTTCCAGATCATTGATGAAACACAGCAAAGTATACTATAAATATTTACAAAATAAGTAGTATCAATGGATATTACGATGTATTATGATGAAATTGAAACTGTAAATAGTTAAAACAGAGTGTCAGTTGTAGGTCATCGTTGGTCACAGTAAATTTACCAAAAATAATTGCATCGGTCACGTCGTAAAAATCATGTTGTGTATCTTGTAGATAAACAGAAACTATCTCCGACTCGAAGCATAGTTTATGGTACAAGAATCATTTGGCATGTTAGAGCTAATAGTAACTCTGTACGACTCAATTCTCATGCTCATCAGGATGATCTGATTTTATATGATGCGTGAAAGTGTACTGAGTCGTGAATCGTTTTTTACAATAAGGACACTGGTACGGCATTAACGGGTGTGCAGATCTTAAGTGAGCGACAGCTAATTCCCGTAAGACGAACGGAGACTGGCATACTCCACATCGATATCTGGAAAAAAAAACACATTAAAATTTCATTAGCTGGATGACTTAGGTCTCTTGTTAGCAGTTTCAAATCAAAATAAAATAATATGATACTGTCACAAAATTTTAGAGGACACAGGGTACATTTAATCTCCAACATATTTCATGTCACAAATCTAGAACCAGTATTAACTCAAATTAAATTTAGAAGTGCTTTTGAATTTGATAAGCGATTGTATCTTAGCAGCAAGATTAGGTATGTAGTTCCGAGCGTCACCGTTCCCATGCAAAGACGGCGTTGCGAGACTAGTTATATCTCGCAGAGTCCAAATTAGGAAAAAAAAAAAGGAAATATTAAATCATACCCGCCAGTTGTCTTAATAAGAGTTCGTTTAAGAGGCGGTGGTGCACTCTCTTCATTAATTTCCACCTTTGGTTCAATAGCCATTGAATATTCCAACGCTGCTTCAGGACTTAATTTTGGCATAGACTCATCTTCTGACTCTATTTTTATTTCGTCCTTTTGTACCTGTTTAACAAAAGGAAGATTCTAAACATTGAGTAACACTTACGACTGAAGATTCTTTCTTTTCGTCACGCTTACCACTGAATGCGAGCCTTCTGTATGGACTCTCATATGAGAATTCTTCGATTGAAAACTACTGAACGTCGCGTTACATTTGGAACACTTGTATTTTTTCCCACTGCCCAATGATCCTGATCTTTGCGAAGACTTCGCTGTAACACCCTTTTTACCGAATAAACCTTCTGTCGTGCATTGGTGTGTCAACAGTGTCACCTCTTTAAAAAATATTTTATTACATTTCGAACAGTGATATGTCTTATCTACGATGTGCGTCTTCTGATGCGTTTTGTATGCATTCTTGTCGGCGAACGATTTGTTGCATACGGAACATATGTACATTGGCACGGATTCATTACGTTTATGAGACATCTATAATTACGAAAAGAAAATTGATTGAAATATTTTCTAGAAGCTGTACAAAAATATTAGTCGCCACACTAGAACAGTGTGTAAGCAGAAATACCGTGTATAAATGAATGGTTTATATACCTCGTGTCTAAACAACTGCCATTTCTCTTTGAAAGATTTTTTACATATATGACAAATGAAGTTCTTGCAAGTGTAGTTGTCCGAATGCGTTTGTAAATGCGTTAACATTGTTGTATGATCACTGAACCACTCTAAACAGATACCGCATCTTGCCACATTTTTAAATGCATTGGGAGTATTCTTTTTTGGAGGTGGTTCTTCATGGTTGGTGATGTCTTTCCTGTCCATCATCTAGGGTTTACAACGTTTGACAAGTTTATTTCAGAAATAGTTTGCATCGTGTTACATTCTGTTTAACCAATACATAAATATATATCTCCGTACCTCTGAATATGTTCTGCATCTTGCACGGGTTCTGGCTTCCCTTGCTTCTCTTTCAGCATTTAATGCTTCTTCTTGTTCAACGCTAGCCATGACGGGCGACATTGTAGGCTGTTGACTATGTTCGCTCATTCTATGCGCTGCTAAACGTATGAAAAGTCCGAAAGATCGTCCACATATATCACATTTATGTCTTTTGGGTTCATGGGTGCGCATATGATTCGACAATGCACTTTGTTGCGTACACACCTACACACAGAACATAGCAGTTTAAGTAAATCGATTTGAAAAATATTTAGTGTCTTCTCATAAAACATTTTCAAAGCTTTCTACCTTTCCACACGTGGGACATGTAAGTGATTTGGTAGCTTCTACGAAATGTTCTCTCCTTATTTCCTTCGGAGGTTCTTCGGCTTTGATAATTGTTACTTGTTGATCCGACAATTGTGAAGCCTTCACCGGTGTATAATTATTAGTTTCGTGTAACTGAGTATGATTTTGATAGGCTTCTATACTTGGGAAAAATCTAGAATAAAATTTAAAGATAACCAATGATAAAGAATTGAAATATATTGAAAATTTAATAGTACAATAAAAATGTTATATATGACTACCTATTGCATAATGAGCACCATGTATTGGTCCCAATATCAATTGCTTCGCCTAAATGATCGCGTAGCCTGTGTTGCTTTAACATTTCCCAACTCACAAACTGTCTGTCGCATTGATCACAATCTTGAAGACTTTTATCAAAATCCAGTGTCACTTTTAAATGGCTAGTAGCTTCATGTTTAGCTAACTCTTCGACTAATGCAAAGCACTCTGTGCATTTTCTACAAGTGTACTTCCTTGGACAATGTAACTGCATGTGTTTCATTAAGCTTTCTTTTGTTCTGAAATAAGTAACCAATTGTAGAATTCTTTCAAAGAATATTTCATATAGTCAGCATCAACTTACCTGTAGTAACTATTGCAAGGAGCACACCACCACTTCGAAGATAACATTTCCTTTGAATTTAAATCCTTCCTATCATTCATTGTTAAACTGCCCATTAGCACTTGTTCTAAAATACTCGTTCTTTTCTCTTCCTTTTTTATCTGTATTTCTTCTTGTGAATAATTGTTCTCTTCGCTTGACAAACTAGCATTATCTTCCACTATTATATCTGGCTTATACAGTTCATTCTTTACATTGTTTGCACTCTGTGATTCATAAATACTAACATCAGTTCCTAAAATTGAATCTGTATTCACTTCCTTGATCTCTACTTCGCAAGGTAATTCGGGCAAAGATTCAATACATGTATTTGTATGTTCTTGACTAATATCTATTGGTGTTGATGGATTCTCAACTGGCAGTGAGGCTGGCAGAGGTACTAATGGTGGTGGTGCTCGTGCCTTCTCCCTCCATAATTGTGCCTGAAAGTTGCAATATTGTTTATACACAAAACCAAAAAACAGGATCTCGAATATCAATGTTAAATCCATTTTATGTTTCTGTAAATTACACTGCTATTCATAGATTTTGACCAATCAGAGCACTTTTGTAACAATGATTGAAAACAATCCTCTTTGGAATTTGTCTTATAGAATTGTTTAGGATAAGCTAAAGAAAATGTGTATAACAACTTAATAATTATGTAGTATATACAAGATCTTTCATATGTATATAAGTTCAATAAGCATTAAGCAGGAGTTATCCCTTAATTTCCTTTAATGGCCAAAACCCTTGAACTTCGGTATAATGTAAGACAGTAAGGCAATGATGCTTTATCCATGCGTTCCACGAACATCATTCCTACTATTCCTGGTACTGAAATGATCACGAAATAGATACCTGACAAGGGTCAGGAGAGTTCTTCATTGCGTCCAAGTAAATCTGAACGGACTCGAGATCCTTGCATGCCAACAACTTTATGTGCATGCACTTGTAAACACTCAAACAATATTCCCTAAACTCGTAAACGTCGTCCAACCTGGCGGCGCAGAACTGACATATTTGCTTTGGCAGTGGATCGGTTTTGTATACTAAAACAGGCAAGCAGGCTCGTAGCTTTTGCGCGACTTTGCGCTGCACACCTTCGTTGCCGAAAATCGGCAGCATCTCGTTTCTCTCCTCCAAGCACAATCTGCAAACTTTCTCCCAGTTGTTGAGCACAGCCATTGTAAACAAGTAATTCTCAGTGTATTCAGGTTTCCTGCCGATCGGCGATCAAAGTTTCGTTGCTCGATTGTGGAAACGATTGTACGGCGATCGACGATACGCGTTTATTTTCCGCGATAACACCAAAACGCTCGATCCCAACGTACGATCAGTCTCGAACGAGGTTAGCCAGCAGCTCGCAGCGAACGTCGTGCTGGCTCGAGGAATACCGATCGAGCGACCTGCGCATCTTCCTCGTGGCCGTTGAGATTAGGAGTTTTTCGCCGGGAATTTCCAGTAGGAATTTCGCGATCAACAAACACGACCGTTTTCTTTTATCATTCTACTTTCACCTTATGCCGTCTCCGTCTTGGTTCGGAACGTTCGGAACTAGCCTTTCAAGTATAACGATTCAGAAGAACCGGTTCCTGTGCGTAACCACCTTATGTGCATGAATGTTGCTTAATACCGTCGTCTATCGCGTATGCACCTTCGACACTGTCCCCAGTCGTGTCGCTCGCATTTTTTTTTCTCCCCTTGCTTTCGACGACACCTTGCGTGGTCCCTGTGTTTTGATAACTATTCTAGTTGGCGAGAACTCATTTATGTTGCGTCGCGCGTTATCGTTGTCTGTCCCTCTGTACAATACCGTGGTTTTTCAGGGAATTATTTGTTCATCTGTGCGCAGAACGATACACAACCACGATGCATCGTTGTTGCTCCAAAGAGCGCAACGAACCACGAAATTGAAAAAAATAGTGAACTGTTGATTTTACGGTTGTGGCTGGATTATTAATGGCGTGGTCAGGATCATTGATCGCTGAGACAGAATCATGGGCAGGTAGCAAGAAACGCGGTCGATTTGAATCTACCAAGTACTCCACTCGCCTTGTGGAACCTGCTGCCAGATGTAGGGTATGATGAACATATACAGGGTGCCTTAGAACGAATTAATAAATTTTCTGTTACATTAAAATTGCACGATAAAGTGGAAATTTCTATTCTATAATTATAAAGAATCATAAAATAAACAGAACCTCGTTGAATTGTTTAAGGTCTACATTTCCTGCACTTTTCAGATCTTGTTGAAAATCTTGTATGTATCGAGAAACTAATTAATGGTTAAAGTAGTATATGAATTATATAACATTCAGTTGAACATTAATTTATTATATAAATTTACATTATTTTAACATAAATATATGTATGCATATCACTTATTTGCACTTGGCAAAGTTTTTACAATTTCATATTTCACTAGTTTTTAATCATGGGAAAGCATACTGAACCTCTTATTATTTATTAAAACAGAATAGAAAGAAAAGAACTTAATGCAACAAGTGTATTCTTTCTATATCAAAATGTTACCTTAGAAAATAAGTTAACAAATTGATTTCCTAGGTTTTCTTAAAATTATGTACAGGGTATAGTAAGAGATTTAATGAAGCAATTATTGAGTCAAAATAATTTTACCCAAAGAAATGGAACATAACGTTAAGAAAAATGCAAATGTTCCTCGTGATGCACGTTTTACTTTGCATTTATCAGTAAAACAGTGTTAACAATTGAGAACTTTGTAAAAGTCGAAATTTTAACATCATTATTCAATGCAATAGTTTTAACCAAAATCTTAAGTTAAAACTTTTAATTCTTTTAAATACACCTCGTATATATGTATAACAAATGCATATTGTACTAGTTTATTAGTTATTCGCAATATTGTGTATGCTAAATAACTGATTGGTACACGAGTGCCTCTTAAAAGGAAGTAACAAATGCTGCAATATTCGCGTAACAAGCATTAATTACAAAATCTGATAATACTTGTTTGCATAGATACAATCTTTTTTTCTTATTTAATTCCTTAATCGTCCAATCGGATACAGTATTCGATTAATGTTTATGGATACGCGTCCAGTTAATCCGTTTCGCATCTACTGAATGTGAAACAACGTACAAAGGCGTTGATAATGTATCAGCGATTATATATACACGATAAAAATCAAAATGGCAACTTTAGCAGACAAAGGTTTCATAAATAAGCTTATAAATTGCTTATGAACTTGCACACTTCCGGAATCTGTAGTGTTCGTACATACAAAAATAATTTTACAGCAAGTTCTTTTTATTCTTGTTGTTCTAATTATACGTAGAAATTAACACATCACATGTGTGAAGATTATAGTTTTCATTCGCTGTTCATGCATTATTTTTAAGTAACAGGAAACAATGAAAAACTTAACAAACCACATCTGTATAATATATTATAAAAAAAAATAATTTTAAATGATTGCAAAAAGAAAAACAAAACTGACAGAAGATTTCAAGTAATAAAAACAAAAAACAACATAATATCCACACACGTGATGAATATATAAACACATTCCCTGTTTCATTTGTTCATATACAACAGTAAATCTTTGAATAGAATAATTAACATTCCAAGAATGGTAGTGAATTTCTCCTACCCTTTACGCTTTAAAAATCACTCTGTTTATGTACAGATATGCCTTTTCACATTCAAATCATAAAATGGATAACAAAGAACAAAACCTTCATTTCGATCCATTATGGTACGATACTTCAATTATGTATGCAATTGATTCGATAAAAGTTTTATTGAATATGCTGTGTCGCATTCTTCACGAATTGACGTTTAAATCCGAAGGAAATAATTAAAATTGTTGTTTCCTTGTATTATCACTGCATCACCGACCCTCTAATAATTCACGTCACCGTGTATGAGGGATCCATACGTGATGAACACGAAATAGATAACGCTCGAAACAGTTGAAAAAATAACAATTTCAATAAAACGTTATGTTACACTGTACAGATATTTTCTACAGATACAATTCAGCTAGGCCCTTGCCTGGCGTATCATATTATTTTGATAACTATTCACAACCGAATGAGGAGACAAGTTCGAAGCGTAGCTAATCGAAATCAAACATTTCGCTCAATCATTGCTTTATATTACAGACGGTCGATATTAATCGATTTGTAATGTACAAGCTTACGATAATACCGTACGTACAGGTTAGAAGACGTATCCCGTCTCGCTTTTCAACAAAATTCTCTCTCGGTTTATCATACATGCACAGTGGTGGCCATAAAAAAGTTTAAAATCAAGTGTAATTTACCACGAAGAAATAGATCCTTGCAATAATTTTTACATATATAAGGTATAGATATATCACTTATAATAATAAGTATGAACATAAAAAAAAAAAAAGAAATGCTTCAGCGAACTTTGTATATACGCTACCGTAGCATGTGCCATTAATATACATATGATAAGGATAGTGTTGACAGATTCACATATTTCCATGTTATTGTCATGAAAGAAGCTTTAAATATACTTTTTTCCTTCATCAAGGGGAACTAGTGTTCTCTATTGGGAAGATCAGTGGCATAAAAATGATGGTTACAAGTTAATACAATATTATAATTAATGCGTATAAAAATATGAATTTTAAACTTTCTTTTGACCTGCACTGTAATTAAACTTCGCTCGGTTGACGCATTAAAAAGATATCAAAGAATAAAATTGATGTTCGAATGCCTCTCTTGCGCCTTTTCCCTTCAGTAGTCACTTGCCTACATTGTTCAAAGTATGTTTCTACTACCTCGCTGCTGGCATCTTCTCAAGGAAATCTTGTTCGATCACTGTCTCCAATTGTGTGATATTTAACGGTGCCTGAGTGTCGCTCGATCTGCGGCTGAGTGTTGTAAAAAAATAATGCAAATCTTGCAACGAACGAATATTGTTCGAAGTTAGAAGAAGTTCCCCTGGTGTCACCTTTACAGAGCTCGTGTCCTGTTTATACTGTAACAAGGCGAATATTGTGCAATGAAATGTTACAATTGATTTTATCTTTTTCTGAAATTTGGGCTTGAAGTAACTTAGTCGTCCTTTTTAAGTGTTAAATGTTCAATACTCTGTTGTACAATTTCTAAGTAAAAGGCAACAAATGTAACTTCAGAACTTGTGAATTTACTTCCACGGAAATCTGTCTTTGATAATTCTCTTTTGTTGAAAAGAATGAGTACTTCTCATTCAAGCTGTATTCTTCGTTTGGTAGAGATTTTGTTGGAATACTTTGTACAATTTTCGGAAAAGAAAGTAGCGTATAATCTGCATTGTATGTTAAATATAATTTAAGCGCTGAACTCCTAGAATACAGGGTTATTGGCATAGTTTCAAAAATAAACTATGTATATATGTTTCACGTGTTGCCGAAATAAGTATTTCATCAGTGAAAGCAGTTAAAAGCGGTGCACAAGTTAAAGAAACTGTTTAAAGAACGAAGGGATAATTATAAAAATAGAAAATATTCAGAGCTAGTTTTCATTTAATTGTAATTAAATTAAGATTACAAGAAGTATAAGGCGAGCGTACACGATAGAGTTCCAACTTTAATGCAACTTAAAAGAAATTTAATTGTGTTTGATTAGAGACAGATGTGCAAGTGAAGTTGAGCAGTGTTGATTAACTCTACATTCGTATGTAATAATAGTAAAAGAACGTGGACAGTTCACTGTCAGTCAGTTTGATATTGGCCATGGCAGTGAGTGGACTGAAAACAGTTGCTTATTTTATCCTTCACCTTACATTTGTAATAGATGCTCGTAAGTGTTGCATTCAATAATTGTTATTTTTCTTTTTATCTGAGCTAAATAGACATGTGTTTAATATCAGTACAAGAAAAGTGATACATGTTAAAATATTTGTTTAACTTGTACAATAAATTATTGCTTGTATTAAAACAATATTAAAATGATATCTGTCAAGTATCTGGAGAATTGTTTACCACGTTATTTAATCATTTTTTAGAACATTTTTACTATAATTGAAAACTATGTCTGTTATTTATTAATCTATATAACATATAACATATGCGAGTTAAGTGTAATTTCTTGTTAAATTCATTGAATATTTCTGTATTCCCTATTTATTTTGAGATATGACTGAACATGATAAAATGAGAATGGAGTTAACAGTTATAGCTACGTCAGTTTTAATAGGCTGAAGTTCAGCTAATTGATAATAATTAAGAGAAATTAAATGATACAGATGAGGCACCATGCAACAATCTTCCTTTTGATTCTCTATACAGTCGTGTCAGTAATTTTTCAAGAACGTTTCATTATGTTATTATTAGATTACAGACTTTATATCTTTACATGTAAATGTACAAAATACAGAAAACTATAATTGAAAGCAGAATTCAAAATCTGTAGATAAACATGAATTTGCGTGACAGAATGGCGGTTTGATTATTAATATTTCATATTTTAGAGTACTCGGATGATTCGGATTACAAAGAATTAGAATTTTACGAAGAGATGCCAATTGGCTACGCTGGAAATTTCGAGAATGATAATTTGAACATCGTTCAGGATGATTACTACATTTTAAATGATTTTGAGGACGCGGTTCCTCGAGGACGTAGATGCGACGTTTGCCCTGATGTGCACGATGATCTTGATCTGCCTTTTAAAATTATCGACGACACCTCCAAAAATGAAAGAACGCGCGACGCCCAGTTAAATTGGTATAGACCAGAAAGAATATATCGATACACTAAGCACAGAATCCCCGGATACGATTACGAAGAGATTGATCATGTGTTTGCAAGAAGTCCTAAACAATGCGACGACAAATCCATCTGGACTCACTGTGTCTGCCCGTTCACGTGTTCAAAACCAGACGTAGTAGATTGTTATACGCCGTGCAGAAGTGGATGCGAGTGCAAAGACGAATATGTTTTTGACGAGAAAACAAAAGGGTGCATACTGCCAGAAGAATGTCCCAAAGGTTAGGATTACATTGATGTATAACAACGTCTGTGTCCTCACTAAGTCACAGGTGGGACAACTATCCGCCCTAAGTTTCATTTTAGGGCAAAAATTACAAAATTTTACAAAGTATTACGTGGAAAGAGAATAATGAATATATAGAAATACAATTATAGCCCATAGTTCGATAGGTTTTTAGCATTACTAACACTTTGTACAACACAACAGAGTATTGAGTTAACATTTTAATAAAGTCATACGAAACTCTCAAACAGTAATTTCACACGTACCTTGGTGTCCATCAATTTTGCTATTCTTGTAATATGTGGTACAAAGTCAGACGACAAGTTATTGTTGTCGATACACCCTGCTGCAGAATCCCCCACAAATGCCCACCTATACCTACAGAGAGATTGTATTTTTATAGAATTCTCTGTGTAACTGTGTGTTTATTATATCGTGAATTATGTTTTATTTCACTTACATTTGAAACTGCGGAAGTCTGTGCGCAGGCAAGAGTAATGCTAGGTCTAACAACTTGGCAGCTGCAAGTTGTAACTGCAACCAATGTGGATGACCATGCGCCTGGAGTCCATTGCTAGCATTCACAGCCCAAGATGAATCCAAAGCAGAGAGCAGTTTTATATGCGAACTGTACGAAAGTAGAAAGTACAGTTTCAGACGTGGCAGTCTAATGAAAAACTATATTTCTTGACAAATTCACTTCAACATGTTGCATTAAAAGCGGAAAAAAAAAACAAAACAAACACGAAGCCCAATGAATTATCGTGACCACTATTCCTGAATGCTAGGGAACGTTTTAAAAAGACTTTGTCCTCCGATCTTTTTCTAATTTAAAATAAAGTGCCTAAGAATTTTTACATTATTGTGTGTATTATGTTATGCTTAGTACTTCTGCAAAGTACAATGAAGTAAAATCTTCGAAAACATTTGGAGCAGATAAATTCCCATTTTAGAAAATCATAAAAATGAGAATTTCTATCCGCGGTAATTGTAATTCTTAGGTACATTATTCTGGAGAGCGTCTGATTTGATGACCGTTAATATGCAAGAAGCATTTAATTACCTGCCATGACGACTGATGTCCCAACACCAATCAATAATGGGGGCATCATAAATTCCACCAAATCGCAGATACCGAAACAGAGCCAAAAACAATATGACATTAGGTATTGTTAATTAATGTTAGTAAGGAGTAAATACAAAACAATGTTATTAGAGCAGAACATGTTATGCGCTAAGAAAGGATTACGAGATATGTTGAAGAATAGCTAAATGTATCTTTATCCAACTAAATTCCTTTACACTTTCCTGTTCTTCTGTAAAATTATTTTATTTCTCGTTGTGCTAAATTTTCAGTTCAAACCACTGGTATAGATCATGCGTCAAAAGCACCAAACTCCCAAAAGCAGAAGAGTAGAAATCAGTGTACTGGAGATGTAGGATATTACTATACCTGAATTCTTCGCTATCAGCATTCAATTCCTGTTCAATGTATAGAAAGACTTGAACGAGTTCACTAACTATTACCGGCCATAAAGAAGTGGCGTGTTGCGGTGACATTCTTAAAAGCAATACCCGAAAGCAGAGAAAAACTTGCGCCTGAATAGATGGAATCACTTGTGGCAATCGTAGACTGTCCGCTAATCGTTCTAATTACGACAAAAGTATCAGAAATTTAAACAGAGACATTAATTTTACATTTCTTTTTATATAAACGATTTTGCCGTAATAATCTCTCACCTTGAATCTCAGGCATATACTTATGATATTGATCCATTTCACTGCAAAGTATAACGTATGCTAGTCGTTTCAACAATTGAGCTTTTTGCTCATACTCCTGTTCCTTCGATGAAAATATACTGATACTACTACTCTGAGCCATGGAAACACGATCTAGAAACAAAAAAATAATATTCTGTGTATTTGTTCACATAACCATCCGTTTAACTCTACAAGATCTTATACGATAAATACTCATTAAATCTCGGAAGGTTGTATTGTCGTGTGTCATCAAATTATCTATAATAGTTCTCCAATAAGGTAAACACGCGGGCGTCATCTGGAAAAAGGCGGAATCTAGTAGAAGATCCAATATATCTTTGCGCCATGCTTTTCGAGTGTACTGATAACCAGACAATGAACTCAGTAACTGAGAACAAGCCGTGAACGAGGCAATATTCTTTGTCCTAAAAATTTTACAATTAGAAACAATCAATACTACGAAAGATTCATACTGAAGAATGGAATAACTCAGTTGGCATCAACAAGACCAGATAGCTCCCTCTAAGGTTAATTTGGAAACAAGACAAAAGAGAGTGTAATTTGGTCTTGTACATGTCAAGATTTGCTCCACATGGTTTAAAAGTGAACAAATCTTACGAATGATTCTTAAGATACGGTGTCACATTATACATAAGATTGGTTAATAACGTTACTACGCGTTCCTTCTCCTGGGAACCGTAACTGACATCCAACAGAGGCGCTAGTATTTCTGCCAACACTGCCTGAGCTTGTACACTGTACGCTGCGTTAGGTGGAGTCCCAGGAGTAACTGAAATATAAAGTTTCATACATTATTTCTATCATACTGAAACCGACATGTTTAAACTAAGGCAATGTCGCGCTAACACAAAAGAAAATGTAACGACAACGAAAATTACTAAAGAGTTTAACAACAGAATCGTTCTAGAGGAAAAGCAAATTACGCACCAGCACCGTTCTTGCCTTCTTTACCTTCCGAAGATCCCTCAGCAACTTCAAAAGCGTCTTCTCGCACCGCTAGGTTTCTTCTTAACCATGTTGTTTGTTCTAGACATGCTCCGGCTATTTGGGAACATGATTCGACCAACTGAAACAATGACTTATAATTAGACTGCGGATTTTATGCGTTTATATCCTATAGGGGTCTGTAAAATACAGTAAAGCACAAAACTTTCATCAGATCCAATGAGTTTTCTAGTTTATTCTGAGCCCAATATGATACTTAACACTAGGTTTACGGACATTTCTTATACTTCTATCTCTCCGGACAGACGTCAACGAAACTGCACATTTTTTTTACAAAATAACTTATTTTTTTTAATACTCAATTTACGATAGCATCAAATTGTCGCGTATACGTAGAGATGGGTATACCACAGAGAATTTCGAGATTAGAAGGCATTCGAAATGCGTCAAAATGACGCGTCCAGTAAACCTAGTGTTAAGAAAAGAGTGTACAATAATTCCTAGATTTTCTTTTCTCTGTATGAATTGCTGTAGAAAATATCATTTTGCATAAATTCCGCAGTCTACTTATAACTATCTACAATTATCTCAATGACAATATTTTGCGTGATCACATATAAATATAAAAAAAAAGCAGTACCTTTGCCGACACGTCCTGCAGATCTCTTATGTCTTTCTTCTCCTGCATAGGAGGGCATTTCTGCACGTACTCGTTCAAGATCGCCAACAAAAGAAACTGAGCAGGCGCCGTTAACGATAGGCCGTCCTTGAGCAAACCGAGCAAAGACGCCCAAGATTCGATCAGGGACTGAGACGTGTTACTTTGCATATACACGTAAAGTAATTCCAACACAGAAACTTCTAACGAGAAGTCTTGTTTCACACCGTGAATAGGCGGAGGTGTCTTAACAACTTGGTGAACAGTTTGGACTAGTGTGTCGATAGGCATCACACGAATCGCGCTTACTAAGTGAACCATCACTTGCTGATTGGGGCAAGCTTCTGGAAGCATCTGAATAAGAATAGAATTGCTTGTATACACTATCAATGATCATGTTAAAAATGTGATTTGGCAATTACCTTCTTCGAATTACCAGCAGACTGCCGCCTTTCGTGCCAAGCAACAGCAATAGCGGCCAGGAAGTTCACTCCATGATGGAAAGATATGGGAGACAAAAGCTCCAAAAGTTGATGCTTTACTATTCTTGGACTACCCACTACGCAACTAGCTTGTTCACTAGATTTTTATTTAAAAAAAAGAAGCAGATAATAAAGTTCTATGGACTTCGATTTTAAGTGGCAAAGAAAAGAGAATTCGAAATGAAACAAACTTGTCTTTTGTCGCTAACACTGCTTGCCATAGAGTAGAAAGGGACGCGATTATCCTTGGTAGATGACTCAAAGCGGTTCTCCTAGCATGTTGTTGCAATTCACTTGCACCATTTTTATCCTTTGATGCATTAAGGTCCTATATTGATAGAACACAATTAATTTGACACTTTTGTCAGTGCACGGATAACACCAAAGTACGTGGACTCGTAGCTTACTGGAGAGAGCGGGCTGGGCATAAACACGTGGATAAGGTTATTGAATATTTGGCCTGGATTTGCCCCAGGTATTCCAGTCTGAATTGTGCCGCTGAAAGGCTGATTGAACGAGAAGCCGATTTGTTGGGACGTGTCCAATAAGCAATAATGAAGTAGAAACGTTAAAGCTTCTAGATGCGTGACGGTATAATCCGCGGGAAGACAACACTCGACAGTACTTAAATCTTGCAACTTCGTCGCCGTTGTTGTCTCCTCGTTAATATAATACGATGCTAAGTGTTCGATGTTACAACACAATTGGTGGATGACTGACGTTACTATTCCAGTTAACGAAGACCCCATGAACGGAAGACTCGACGTGACAAGCGTCGTCCAAAATTGGTGCAAGTGTCTCATGTGGTCCTTGGATAAAAATTTGTAATCAGTATAATTGCATACGTGAAACAACAGATTATTGAATTTAATGCTTACCAACTGTAAAGCACTAAGTATGCTAGCAAGGAACATTGGTTGTTGAGGAATCGGCGCGCCAGGTACATATTTCAAGCTGCTTCCGGTGATGTTAGGAACGGTTCGTGTCGGGGTGCTTGGCGTTGGCGCAACTGGTGGACATATTTCTTCGCCTTTCTGGCTACTGCATTGGTGCTCCAGCATGATTAAAGCCAACAACAGTCTTAAACGGTAACGAAACATTGTTAATTCTATATAGGTTACTAGGAATAAATATCGGTTATTATCAGCTCGCATTATTCACCTTAATAGTTGTATTTGGAAAGCTTCTGTGTGATCACTCGCTCTATATTTACACTTATTTACGTCACTGTCCGTAACAGGATCATTAAACAAAATTATTTCTTCGGTAAATGTGAATACCTCCTCATTCTCCTTGTGTGCATTCTTCATGTTCATAACGCTGGACACAAGGCAATGCAACGCGACCTTTTGTACTTTGCATTTTGTTAGCAAATCGACAATGTAACAACTAAAACCCTTCCCCGAATCACGAACAATAGGAATTAACTCGGAGAATATTAGCGTTAACAATTCGGCGCTGGCTAATTGCACCTATTCGAAAAGAAATGGTTTTGTTGTAAGACAAGCAGAAATATAATACTAATGGAAGCTAAAAGGACTGTCTACTTTTACATAAAATAAAAGAGAATATTAATATTACAGAGTAAACTAAAGTATATAAGTCCATTGGAGAAAACTCATCTTTCATAATCCCTTCAGCTTCCATCGTTAGATACACAGTAATCACCTGTCGATTTCCCGAAATCTCCTCTTGTGTAAGTCTCATCTGTCCCAGATTAGGATAGTAGCTCCTCGCAAAATAAAGGCACACGCTAATTAAAACTTCTAAATACATGCTACTTCTATAAGCAGCTATAAATTCCGTGTTCGCAATGTCCCCGTGAAAGTTTCTTCCGAACACACTTTTCCGATGTCTCGCCAGTAAGTTCAACAATGTTGTGTTCTTCGTAGTATTGCTCACACCAGTAGTCGCGGCACAGCACAAGAACATTCTAGTGTTCGTCAGGAGCTCGTTACGAAGAGTTCGCAACGCGTATAGGGTCCTGGTCGAGTCATAGACTCCACAATAAAGTAGCATATGCGAGTGGAGATTGTGAACACCAACTCCATAGTTGCGGCCCGATTTTGTATTCTGGTATGTGGACTCATCGACGTTTTTGGGTGTTTCGTTAACGTCACACAGCTGCATCACACGGTCGAGGACATCATTCAAGATTTCCTCCACTATGCTATTGCTGCCGGAGTTGCCGAAATATTCCTCCGCAGCTGTGCTAGCTTCCAAGTCACCTTCTTCGTCGCCCATCGTCCAACTGGGTACCTCGACGCTCGCCTCGAAGCTACCAACATCATGGATATCGTAATTCGTCATGAATTCATTTGTACTGTGATATTTCCCCTTGATGATGGTACCTGCCACTTCTCTGGAACTGCCAGGCATGATGACCGGTTCTTTCTTCGACTTCGTTTGTTTACTGGTTATCTCTGGACTGCTGGAATCGAAACTGTTGGTAATCGAGTCCAGCGAGGAGCCGACTTCTCCGTTCAACTTCTTGAATCCGTTCTTCTCTTTTGTCTTCGAGCTGGAGTTGGCGGACTCAAAGAGGCTTTCGTCCAAGCTAGCGGTGGAACCTTTATCGAAGTCAATCTTCTTGAATCTAGTCGCGTTCTTTAGCAATTCGGTGGTTAAGTTTGCTTTCTTTACGCTGGGCAACGATTCATCCTCAGTCAACGAGTCGTTTGAATTTTCGTTGCAATTCAACGACAACGGATTGACAAACACAGAGATCTTTCGATTGCCGGATATGCTCGGTGGTACCTCAAGTTCTTTCATAAATTGATTCCTCTCGGTCACGTACTGGTTGCAATTGTCACCGGCGGCCAATGTCGTCACGGCGAAGATTCTTTTCACTTTGACTGGGTTTATGGCCTTTTTCTTCTTCTTTCCCTTTCGCCATTTCTTGTCCTCGTCTAAACCATCACTAACGTGGTATATCACGTTTCCGTCCACAGAGCTGATCGCGTAAATCTTTGCAGAGCCTTCTGTGTCATCCTGTATCTCTGATTTTTCTTCTATAGGATCGTTTTTGGTCAGGACAGTATTGCTGTGTTGAATACTGACATGGAGAACACTCATACGACAGGTGGATGGATCTAAAAGTATTATCAGCAGCGGATCCACTATTCTTGAAATGTCACCTCGCATCAAAGAATGAAGTAGCCACGATTGAGCGTGGAGCTTTAGTGGTGAATTATCTGAGAGTTGTAAATTATCCAATATTTTTAACAGCGACCTGCAGAAGTATCGACATTAGTATTTAATTTACGGTTTTACATAAAGTGTCTCGAGTAAAATAGCTTGAAAATTAGGTGGCTTACTGGTCAAATGACCTCATGCATCCTCGCAGTCTGGGATTAGTTTCAATTTCTCTTCCCAAGTGCCACAAAGTGGCAAACCTGTTAAAAGCTTCTATCCTCTTCTCTACGTTTTCTGACGTCAACGCAGCTCCTATTACATCCTCAACCGCATCGCAGGAGTTGTACAAGCCATGATGAAGCTCGTGCAACAATTCGACGCATCGCATTCTGTATTTGTGAGCGGGTAATTCGCCCAGATGACGCCACAAGGAATGTGCCAGTACCTTTGAAAAATAGATTTTAATTCCTTACCTTCAGACGTAAAAAATACTAACAGGGAGACGTCACAACTATTCTCATGAAGATTCACATTTTAGGCACAGTAATACCCCGATTTATGCAAATTCACACTTACGTCATACATTGTTTCCCCTTCTCTCCCATCTCTTACCTGCCACTCACATGTCACTTAAGTATTTTGATAGTTTAGTTTAATAAATAAAACAGTATTAATTAGAAATAAATTAGCATTTTATTTAGATCTGCTATCAAAGAACCGATTAGCTAAAATTAATATTAAGTTGTACGGAAATTTGTATCCCGACTTACGCCACCAATGTCAGAACCACCCATGGCGTAACTTCGGGTATTACTGTATATCATAGAAGTTAGATGGAGATTGACGACCACATAGTTGTAACGTTCCTTTGTAAAACGAATATGAACGAAATACCTGGAATACGTTGGTATATTGCATTAAATAAGTTACGTGCCACTGCTTCAACAAAGGCACCATGATCACGGCTGTTACTCCCTCTCCGCACTTTGTATGAGTTTCGATATCGTTGTGAGCTTTCAATAACGCTATTAAATCTAACAGCGTGGCAATGCTGGTCAACTGCAAAGCGGGCTGCTTCCCTAGCCAGCAGCTACAAACTATTAAAACTTTCAACCAATCCGGAAGAACGATATTTCCCTTTGGCTCTTCTTCCACCAGTACTCCATCGCCGGGATGAAAATATTTCGGAAACGTGGAGAGTTCGACGAACAAACTGGACGCTATCTGCACGGTTTCCTCCCATTCTGTTTGCGACACAGAATCTATATGCAGGTTAAGAATATCCAATCGCTTAGTATCTTCTATCACGGACACATCTTGGCTAAAGAATCCAGAATCCTCCATATTCAATCGGGAGTTCAATAGAAGTTCTAAGTAGTGCATCTTCTCGTCGAAACTCTCTCTTGGTAGAGAAATTATCAAATTATCGTACATATCCTGTACCGTTCTCTCTCTGCTCAGTACTCTATTACCAACCAGTCTAACGTAAAACGTCTCGTACTGTCTCAGACATTTCTCTAACATCGTATGTTGTGCTTGAAATGCTGGAGATGGACCTCTGCCCAAGGATCCCGTCGAACCCATCGCGGTTCCTTTACTCGATTGCTTTAATGTAATCAACTGATCCTTAGATGGTGAACTAATACTACTAGCTTCCATACACCCACTTTTTATGTCGTCCATGCTTTTGTTTCGTGGTAGCGCTTTAGATTCTTGGCTCACCACTACTGAAATATTGCTGCTGGTATCTTGTATAGGATCGGTCAACTTGGAAGTGCTCTTGCTGGATTTTTTCTTTGATTTTTTCTCGGACCTCTTAGCAGCACCGCCCGAGTTCGCCCTTCTTCTGGGGCTTGGGCTCTTCTCGGAAAATGATCCGCCTGATGTGTCCGGTTTATTTAACTTGCTATCGGATTGGCTCTTCTCTAAAGGGATTGCAGTCAAGGAATTGTCGGTCAACGCTGTGATGGCACTGGTGTTTGCTGTACTCTCAAACTTGGTTTCTATTTCGCCTTTCTCCGTGTGCGTGGACACCACCGTCGGCTGTACTTTGGACAAGATTTTGCCGCACAACTGAAGACTCCTTGAAACCTCCATAGGAGACAAAATATCGATGTGATGCAAAAGCTTACTGACAATTTCGTAGAACAAGCCAGGCAGGTGCTCGGATGGAGTATCTATAAATGCATCTAACGACACCGTGTCCAATAGAAATCCCGTTAATATACACACTTCCATAAAATTTGGCATGCCACTGCCTACGGGTCTCACGGCAACATCTTCTATCTGGCGTTTACTGTTTGCTCTAGTTCGACAAGCATTTTCAAATAAGTGTCCGCAATGTATCCAAACGTAGGATGGTTCTAATGTGGAAAACAGCAGATTCGCTGACTTCACTACCTCGTTCGTTTTTGGTACTCTGTTTGATTGTCCACAAGCATTATAAAATGTCCTGTAGCCAAGAAGAAGAATAATTTTATAATAGAAAAATATTATTACTTTATATTTGTCTCTATGTATCTTACCTAAAAACCTCACACAAAATATCATCCAGAATCACTGGACCGATATCCGCTTTCTCTAATAACGAAACCAATATTCTGTACGGTTTCAAATCCTGTGGACTTTCCTCGCACACAGTTTTCAACAATGATTTAATCGCCTCTATCAACATCTCTTTCGAATATATATCAAAATAAGTAGGTGTAATTTCTGCTGTCTCAGAGACTGTAGCATTCGCTTTCCTCTTTAAAATAGATGTGCTTACTTCAGTACCCAAGAGCCAAGCAAACAATCGCCTATGGTATACATGGTAAATTTAATGCGTGAGATATCGAGTCAGATAAAATGATTCTTTATGCAACTTTGTATTTTTGTTGGTTTACCTATTCAAGCTCATGTCTCTTCTTAAAATAGTGACAAGAGCAGCTGTGACTAGTGATACCATATGTTCGCGTGTTAATTGACTATTATGTACAGGAAAACCGACTAACAGCAAATCCAAAGCACTTCTTTGTACTAACACAGAACTGTCTTGTACTCCAGCGCAGAGAGCGGTAACCTGTTTCACGATTCCGACGTTTAGTCGACAAACTAACATGAAATACCTCATTCCGCTTTATACAGATTAATTTCACTCACCATAATAGTGGTATCTGTGCCCATGATGTACCTTTGCTCTTCCATTGGCAGTTTCTTATTGAAATGTGCTAACACAAATGATATAGCGGGTAACCGAATTCCAGAATTTGAAGCTAAACAATCCCATAAACATGCATAAAAATGCTCCGGACCCACTCCCTCGCACACTTTCTCAAGCAAGGAATTCGTTCTGAAAAGAGTTTTGTTACTTTGGTTTGTTTTTTTGTTTACAGTTAAATGCCCATAAAAGTTTGTATGTTTCCCAAATCGTATTTGTAAACTGATCTAATTAAATTTCTAGATCATTTGAAAGTTACAACCAGAGGATGCCTCGCTATGTAACAAATTTATCTACTTATGATTGAACAAGTCATTAATGATTAACTTTTCAATGATAACCTTTTCTAGATGGCTTATCAGGCCTCAAAGTTGAGCCTTTATGGGCATTTCTCGTACAACTGATATCTGTTGCAAATAATACCTATCAAAGTGGTCGGAACCATCTTCTAAACCGAGAAGAACTCCGCTTAGAAAACCACTCAATCCAGGCCGTAATCTCTCTCCAAGAGGCACAAAATGAGTTTCGTATACTGTCAGCAAGGATGGTCTCACATTCATAGCTGCATGACCTAACAATGGGAAAAGACCTACAAACGATTTTTAACGAAATTAGTTTCCTTTGTGCTCTTACTATTTGAAGTATCCCATGCAGATGATAGCTTACCAGCGCTGTATATAAAGAGCTCATGACTCAGCCTATTAGTGCCCATACATTTAAAAATAATGTCGTAGGTTTCGAGAGCTTTCAAATGAACACCGGATGGCAAAGCAGGATGCATACATTGTGCCAATCTTTTGGATATTTTAATTCTTCTAGGAATAACCGGAAATTTCATATGACTTAGCAACACCTTGTTTAATTTTCCCAGTGCAGAAATTAAATCTGCCCATTCACTGGTGTACTCAAAGCTCTTTAGAGCTTTGTCAACAGCAGACACATAGCTGTATAAAATATTCAGAATTCTTAATTATATGTAAACATTAATCACAAAGTACATGTTACTACATTTATCTCATATTCCATGAATATTTATATATATATATATTAATGGTACAGCTTATACCCAAAAGTCACAGTAATAAAAACTGCATACAACAGGTCTGTGAATACTTCAGAATCTGTGACTAAGTTTCTATGATGAAAGGAAAAATAAATAAGCAAACAAAATGTATTCTACTTACACTCTATATTTAGAGTCTTTCATAAGTTCATACTCTTCCAAGGCAATAGAACCCATTGTTGCAGTCTGGTGTTGCAATTTACAATAAAAATAGACTATTTATCACACGCACACACTCCTCCACCTTACATTATTCCCGAAATCGCGATCAATATCACAAAATGATTCATATGACGCGAGTTTTATCGAAGAAGTCCCTTATCACACGGTGCATTGTGCTCAGATAAGAACAGGTTCCTCTACCTGAAAAGAACAAAATTTGGTAACCTCGTGTTACACGGCGAATTTCGGTTGCGTGACGGTTATATCCCGCGCATTCCCGAATGTACACAAAACTAGTTAATTGCAGGCTCGTGTTTCAAGGATAAAAATAATCGTCTGCATCCGGATATTGACTTTTCCATCGGACTACATCGTCTCAGTCTTACGGACGGTTAAAAGTCACCGTATCATCATTCGTACCATATGATCCATAAAACCGTTATTATTTTCCAGACTGATGAAACACAGAAGCGTAAAAATAATTCCGTTTCGGTTAGTAGAAATACTAATATCAGGACACGAAGTTACAGAACGGACACGTCTACGATGAAATTTCAAACGCACTCCGCACAATGATTTTTTTTTCCTCTCGCCAGTGTTTATACGGTCACGGTTACTTCCGCACGGTGTCGAAAGGATCGTGGTGCTACAATCTACATCATCGGTAGTCGTTCGAAAAAAAAAACTCGCGAATTCGGGGGAATCGAGCGTTTAACCCGTTTAACGACGTTTTAGGAGGTTAACGGTCGAACGTGAACGTAAACGAAATGGATAAGACGAACTGAGCGGGATCCCCGTTTTGTCCGCACATTGGTCCGCGGGGACAGCTCACCTCTTGATGTTGACATTTCGAATTTGCATGTGTTGTCAAGGGTGAAGGTGAGGAGCATCTGACAATCACAAGTCTTTCGATCGTACTCGGGATCATCGAGGATGTATGCCCCTGTTCGAACAGATACGGCTTGATTAGCCTTCAGTCGGATCACCGTTGGAATCCAACGGTTGAATCTGGCAGATACGATCCTCAGTCAAACGATTCGTCTCATAGTCTCTAGCACGTATACACCTACGTACCCGTGAAGTTGGCCGCGTTCGGATGAAGGAAACAGAATCAACCGCACGTCGCTAACCGCAGACGTGTACAGGGTGCTCCAAATACAAAAGGGAAATATTAGAAGTGTACTGCAGTATGTCTTCTCAACTTGCACGAAATTTGCGTTCTCTGTTCATATTAAAGGATAGACACGTCACAACCACAACAAACCTATGTGACGCTCAAATATCCGAAGATAATGGACGTCTTCGAGGCGTCATGTGCTATCTGGGTAGACAGTAAGGAAACAAGTAAGAAGTAATAAGAGAATGGACTGTGAAAATATAATTCAAATACTTTCTTCGTTACTGTTTTCGGTTCTAACATTCGAATATTTTTGGGCACTGTATGCACATAGCAATGGCCGTTGCAGGCATGCAACGTAATTCAGAAAACGAAAAGATCGTTCGCTAGTTTTTGATCAATGCTATCGTAATACGATATCATGTTGTTGAGCATGATATTTTGATCGATTAAACTTTAAAAGCATGAAACTTCTTTTAAAGCTACATGTACTACCATATTTTACCTTTTATTGTTTAATCTTATTGTTCTAACCTGGTATAGGTTTTCCACTTAAAAATTCTTATTTAACAAAAGCTAATTCAAAAGATTGAGGAAATAAAAATTTATTGGCAAACGGTTAAGGAATTTAGATGATACAGATTGACTGATATATATACTTTAACTTGCTTAGGTTTTTTATTCTTGACCTTGTGACACGAAGAGTTGTTATCCACGTATCTAATGAGATCGATTTCCGCCTAATATCTAATTATAAAAAATGTCGGTTTTATAGTTATTTTTATTTTATTTTTTGAATAAAAAATTGGTTGTCGTTTAATCAGTTGACTCATATAGGGTTCACTTACTTATCTATTTCTTTTATCAATGTTTGACAACTGATCGACAATCGCACTATGACTAATCTTCGTCTGTAAGGCTATCTCCTGCTCTGTTCGCCGTGAATAGTCTGTTAATTCTTTTCAAAGTTCTATTGTTCCCAGTGCCTTTTCGTGAAACTGTTCAGGTACTACTTTAGAATTTTGAAAGTGATTGTTACTTATGCTCCTTGTCTTTATACATAGGAGGGTAAAAAGGCATTTCTCCACATCAAATTTTTTAAAATAATTATACAGATTTTTCAACTAAAAATTTGTCTATACTCACCGGCACGTTTCGATGCATAGGTAATTATGTTCGGTAGATTCAGTTCTGGTCGAAAAAAAAGAAAACAATTCGCAGACTTTGGAACGCCTGATAAATTCAAAAATAAGGCATATGGTTGTGCAAGGAAACGACATTACCCTATCCTGTACGGTTTTAGCCGTTTTTATCGTTTTCAGCTTGGCCTTATCTGGCTGCAAATATGGTATAGTTAGTTCGGTCATATACATTTTATCGACGCGCACAGTACTGGGTGCTTTGTATGTCGAAAAAATGACATACCCATTTATCATTTCCTTTATTTTCTATGACAGCAACTTCCTCTACTATTCGCGACCAAGCAAAAATTTATAACTGGAGTTGTACGTTGAACGTTTACGATACGGGAATATGCCCTCTTATTTAAGGATTTTAGAAAACATATCTTATTTAATAACACGATTTATTTTGTATAACTACAAACTCAATGGATATAGTTCAAATGTTAGAACTATGGAAAGAATAACTGTTCCTTTACGATTCGACTGCGGATATTATGCATATATAGCCCAAGCGAAGACTTAATACAGTAGAAATTTTAATAAAGTCTTCTAAAAGTTTCGGTTTTATATAGAATTTAATAGAACATATAGTAAAGTAAACAAATATCTACTTCACTTCAGTCTACGAAAATTAGTATTTACATAAACATCCGCAGTCTACTTACATTAGTTTCCCTCTGCACTGTAATGTTAATTGTACAGTGAAACCAGTGAAACCACTGGATGCAAAAACTGTTCAGATTCTGAGTACCAAATAAAGGCACACGCATACTAGAAGTTCCAGGATTAATACAATTACAATACAAATTTTAAAACTGTCTGATGTGATTGAGATGGGAACAGAGGTTCTAAATAGCACTATAGGGTTATTTACATGGAATGTTTTCGGATGTAAAAAACATCTTTAAGGTAAAATGACACTGTCCTTTCACAGTATAGTTCGTTTAAAGACTGCGCACTGTATAAATAAGCCGGTCCTTACTGTTTGTATTATATTAAATGCAACGTTGTTGAATGTCAACGGGCCGTTGCTTTTCAATCTGTTAAATACCACCACGGTGTTTACAGGTCAAATAGAAGTAATAACTTAAATTCATTATATGCGGTGTATTAATAATTAACAAATAAATTGAAATATAAATTTCAATCATTTAAATAAAATACCCTCGTGTTATGCTTGTTATGCACGACGGCGATTGAATAAAATTTACAAGAACCCGCAACAATTACCGACAATATAAATTGTAACACCCGTTAATTTCGTGGCGCTAAGTGGCGTTCCATGTAATTTAAAAAAATTCCTGTGCATGGACGCCAACAGATGGTAAATTATGATTTCCAATAAAAAAATACTGTGAGCACGTTCTTCCTTATCAAGACGTTAACTTCGCTCCTAAGGGTTGTGGTCTTGAGTTGCGTTCAATTCTCTTCTGTTGCTGCTCGAACAGTCGTTGTTCCCGTTCCCGTCTCTTTTGTTCTCGCAGTGTTTTCGTGGGATCTCCAAACTCCTTTGATGTTTCTTCTTCCCAACCAACAGCGTTGTCCTCCCATTCTCCGAGTTCATTCTGTGCAAATTTGATTTTATACATTTGCTGTTTTACTATAAAAACTAAAATGTCGGAGTGTTTCAAAATATGTACTCAGATTCAATACCCTTAGTATGCTACCACATATTTTGTAACACCTTGTATAAAACCCATGAACTTACAGATGGTATGGGGTCACTGACTACTGCAAACTTTGAAGAATTTCGCGAAGCGTTCTCTGAATTTTTATCTTTCACCAGAATCTTTGTCTGCCTAGTGATTTGTGGTGTCATGTCCTAGAGCAAATGCAGAAGATTACTGTAATGTGTACATTTAAATCAGACATACTGTATAGTTACCTCAAAGAAATTTGGTAGCACTTCTTCGGTTGAGTCATCTGGCTTAGACACATGCTGTCTGTACTGTTCAATCTTAGCTTGTATTGTATTAACTGGCCTGTCTGGCACGACAACAACAGGATTTTCCACCCATTGATCCCACTGCTCTGATTCCTTGAGCAAGCATCTTCAGTGATTACTATTATCGAAGTCAGTGGTACAATAGGGTTTACATGATCTTAAAATCACTGTAAAATATTTATTTGGTGGAAACGATATAGTGTGGTGGTAAAGTAGATCCTTGACAAATGCATCCTAAATATGTTACAGAACATAGCACTGAACACACGATACTTAGTCTGTTTTAATACCTACTATTGGAATTTCTTTTGGCATTGGAAAGACTAATTTTAATTAGCATTCACAATATTGAAGTTTCTTCTTATATTTAAGCAGCCCTCTACATTGAATTCAAACAAAGTTTAAATATTTTTTGTAACTGTGAGTGTCATCAAGAACCCTCTATATTCCATCCTTTTCTCTCAACTATCATACTAGTGTTGTAGGCTTAAGTACTACATCTCAGAGTTGCTTTTACAACCACATAATGTCTCTTCCATCAAGAATATAGCTTCTATATGAATAGATAAGATATAACAAACTCATACAACTTTCTGGGATGACCAGAGAAGTGTTTTTCATAACTTTGGATAATTTTCTCCAAAATGAACAATGTTAAAGCTTGTCTAAGAACCATGAGAAGGACCTGAACTCGAATTAGGTTTTCATTAGATTCACTATGAAAATCGGTATCCCTAAAAGGAAATCTTGAATATGAGGTCTGTTTACATTTCATTGCATTAATTTTATGAGTTCACTATATCTTGTACGCCGAGTATGACACTAAAAGAACAAATGTAGCTTTTGAGACTCACTGTTGTGTTATTTGCCGTGTTGGGTACCACACCGACCGCTGACAAAGGAATCGAGTCGCAGGATGATCTACGTCGACGTCGTAGGCAGCACATTGCTTGCCTGAGTATACCTAAGATTAATACTACGAGGGCTTTCAGCCGATTTACTAAAAACTCCATGGCCATCGTGTTTTATCGGCATAAATCTAACCTCTTTCTCAAGAATTAACAAAATTTGTTATCTAGTACAAGAAATTGAGATCGGCCACATGCCATTTTGTACAGCGATTTCAACGATAAAGTGATTCCACTTTTTTAATCGTTTCGTACACGTTTTGTATACACTATGAATTGTAAAAATTTCGTTTCAGTTACAACTGCAGCCACAGATAAGATACAGAATAGGCCAAATGTGCAATGTAATTTTCTGTCACGTGCTTCGAGGGTTCCAAAGCCCCCTTACCATTTCAGTGTCAATACCCGACGTTACCGATAAAGCACGATTCTGAGTATTATTAGCACAAATGGAGCATTATGAGTATATTCTATTCATAATGCAATGTAGTATGTGTATCCAATCTAGAGATGGCGTACAAAATCACTAACGGTGATTTATCACAGTGATCGTTTAATCAAGATCACGGTTGTGATTTAACTTCATTCACGATCGTGATTGCGATTTTTTTTATCTTCAATGAATTTGCTACGTTCTGTACTAGTTTTTCGCAAATATTAAGGGCAATAATAATATATGCAATAATAATATAATCTATGTAACCGCAGTTACATCGATGGAAACATTAGTTTCATCTACCTCCCTTTTTACAAAGACTTACAATGAACTTAAAAGTAACTTAAATTTAGACGCTTTAATGTTTTAGACGCTTTCTTGGGTCTACCTGAAAATAAAATGAAGATCCCTCGGCGACAATAATCGTGTAGAACAAGCCAGACGATAATCGAGAAGAGTCAGTAAAAAGGGCAACTAGGACTACATCCTCATTTTTTTTCTTCATATTTTCAAATAGTGCCCCGCTATTATAACATTGCATTTCCTTAACACTAGAACTACAAAGCAAGTCAAAATCGCTTGTCATACAGTCTCACAACGATGATTAAAATGTTACAATACATTTTCTCAATTTAATTTATAAATTTATAAATTTTCGAAAGTTTGCCCTATTTATCAATCGAAAATATATGCGTTTTCCGTTGGTAATTCTAGTGTTAAAGCGATTCCAAAATAACTGGAGTAGCAACAAAATATGCCCTTGACACGTTCCACGGCCACCCAATGATGGGGATAACGCTTGGACAATAATCGTGTAGAACAAGCCGGACAATAATCGAGAGGGGTCCGTAATTACCGTAATTTCGAATAAGTGTAGCCATACGGCAAAAGTATTAGATTACTCTACCGCGAGCGTACAAAGAAAATCAACGGAAACAGGTAGTCGGCCTTCTCGGCAACACCGATTTCCATTGATCTTGCTCCGACGACACCTTTCATGAGAAACAGTCTGTCCGCGGACGAACTCGTCAACTGTATAAGGTCGACCGGACGGTGTTCGGATCACGGACGTCAGTGAAAGTATATCGTGTGCACCCCACCCTGGGTCAGCTCCTCCCCTCCTCTAGTATCGGAACTCGAGCACGCGTGCTCGAGGAAGGGAGGGGGGAGGAGGTACGGACACAGGCTAGCGGTACGGTTCTACATAGGACACAAGTGCCCACGTTGCAATAGGCGAGAGATATCGTGTGTATAATCGCGTACGGGACAAACCCCAATCGGAGAGTTTCTGGGTGTCTACCAAACAGAATCGTGCTATACCAGTGGACAGTGCTTCATGATTGAAAATAATTGTTTCTCATCTGAATAGACATTTCTCACGGGTATATCCGACGTGAGGAACACGGAACTTCATTTTGTTTCTGTTACAAGATCGTGTGCGGATAATCTTCGATTTTACGAACTTCAAAAATAATTTCGCACGGTTTCTGATGAACTGTCTGTCCACCAAAAATGGTGGACCATCGAGAAGGCTCGGTGCAACAGTGCTTAATACCGTCTTTGGTCTCTAAATAGAGCTTAGAAGTTTCTTTTGTCTAGAGTTTCATTTCGGTGGTGTTTGTGCTGATTCTACAGTAATGTCTCGATGAGTGCGACGTACTTGGTCGGAGCATCGGTGGCAAGGAGGAAAGGTTTTGCAGCCCTTGATAAATTTATTTTTTGCCAGAAGGGCGACATCATCGAAGCGTTCATCGAGGAATCACTGTACCACGGTTACTTTTAACTGTCACTTAGTCCTCACGACTTGAACAAAACGTTTCGAGTCTCCCATGTGGACGTGTAAAGATTCTTGTTTTTTTTTTTTTCAACGAACCATTGTTCGATTGTTCCACGATATTCGCACGGTTCACGAACGGTACCCTCAAAGATTAATCGAGTGAAACGTGAACGTTCTGTCTCGTTATCTCGTCGCTAGGAACAATATCGTGTCGACAGCGACGCGTACGGTGCCGGGGACTCGATGATCAAGCGTGTCCAAGCGTTTCCGCTATCCGTACTGCTTGCCAGACGGCGCACGCGTTCTTTCACCGTGTCGTTCAGCCGTTTATCGTGTGGAAGAATTACTTGGACGGGGGGACTGACTTCACGCGAGGATAATTATGTGATTTAGCCGTTACGTTTACTCGTCGAGACACCTGCCCTCGCGAAAAGTGTGTTGGTCGAAGGACAACAAAGGGGGGAAGAGATCAGAGTGTGTGCGTGACAGTGGAGTGTAGGCTTGACCTCCTGGCGGAAGTGTCCTCGAGTGAAGTTGGCATATTTCCAGTGGTGTGGTCTCGGCGAAGAGACACTTTTCACTGAAAATGAGACAATTATTAGATCTGTTGATAATTGTAAGTAGCAAGGTGATGGAAAAGGTGAAACTTTTGTTGGGGAAAGGGGTGGTTACGTGGAGACTGGCTTAACCTCTGACCATACGATTTCTTATACGACTTCACTCTCAAGAATGACTTTATCGTTAATCTTTTCCTAGACACAAAAGGAATTTTATTTTTCTGGCAAATGTTACATTTATTTTACGTGTAATGAATTATTTACTGTTACTTATTACAATTCATACTACTCATTTCGAACCATTCAAAAATTTTGTTCTTACATATAATGAAAACTTAGAAAACTCAACTTGAAGCTTTGCGCGAGAAAAACATACAAACTTTTGTAGACCACCCAGACATAACGCGTGTTTACACATGGATTAGAAGTAAACTATTTTGATCTTTGTACAATTCTTAATTGTTCTAATTATGAATTTACAAAAAAACATGTAAAAAAACGTAACTATCAATTTTGACAATTATCCCTATTTCTTACGCTTCTGCTCCACTGTTCGTCGTTCTGAACGTGTTAGTAATCGAGAAGTAGTAGCCCAGACGGATAGGATGTAACGTTCCGAGACGGAACGGTTGCCGCAAGAGTCGTCCTACTCCTCTTATTGCCGCAATCACCGAGAATCACGGAACGTGAAACGCGTTCGCGTAAAAATTTCACGGAAGCGGTAGATCCTAAACGACGTTTCTAATTCGTAACATTGCGGCTCGTGTATCTAACGATCGTGCGTGTGAAAGTGGTAACTGCTTTGCGTGAGTCCATCAAAGGGTGACGTGTGTTGTGTTTCGCGGCCGCACACGTGACCAGCCGTCTCAAAATGGACATCCGTTTGACCGATGAAGTTCAAATTAAACCAGAGATGGTCAAACTCATTATCTAGATAAAAAGTTTCGAATAACGAATAAAAGATAAAAAAAGTATTTCATCATTTTTAATTGTTTAAACGTGAAAAATTTCAATTTTTAATCTCATTAACTGTTTAAAGCTCAGGTCGACACTCTTAGATACTGCCGCTTTTCACTGTGCATTATTCGAATAAAATTCTGCCCAACTCTGAATTAAACACTACTTACAAGGGGTGGCACGGAAGTGTCTTCCGATTTTAATGAAACTCCGTATGCCTGTTAAGCAGTCAAAAATAAGGGATACGTATTTTTTTTTATCGGCTGAGGCGCGACTTTAAGGGGTGAAACCACCCCTCGAAGTTTCGATCCGAAAGTACTATCTCGAAAACCAGAGGAGATACATGAAAACTTCTAATGGACGAGGCTTGCAGTTTTTTTATGTAGAATAATATGGTGCTAACAAATTGTCCAAAATATAATTTGTTTATAACAAAAAAATTTCGGATCGAAACTTCGAGGGGTGGTTTCACCCCTTAAAGTAGCGTCTCAGCCGATAAAAAAAAATACGTATCCTTTATTTTTGACTGCTTAACAGACGTACGAAGTTTCATCAAAATCGGAGGACACTTCCATGCCTTCCCTTCGAAGTGGTAGGAAACTTTTCTTCTACCCCACTTTTTACCCTAAAGGAAGCCGAGTTTGCTCGTCGGTGTACCTGGACCCTCTGTACTAAAAACGATTAATTCGGGACCATTCATTCCTCGATATTACCACACACATCGTTCCGTTTCGAATCATCGAGACGAAAGTGATTTCTTGATGGTCGACGACCGATTTCCGTCGTGATCCGTGATTATATTATTATCGTCGCAACGCGGCTGTGTCATACGGATGAGTCAATTGAAAGCGGTCTCGTATAAGAAAGCAGTTAAACGCCGTCTCGAGTGCACCGTAGGGGGGGGGATATTACATCAGAGTTAAATCCGTGTTAACGACCGGGAATCGAGATAACGATCGCGCTCGTTACAAAATTCCAGATTTGATGAAAATAAGCCGACGGAGGGGAGAACGGATTTATGGATTCCGGCATAATTTTATATCGCGTCCATCTGGATAAATCGCTCCGAAATCGGAGTTTCCTCCGTGTTTTTCGTGCGATTACTATCGCGATAAGATTGCGCAACAGTCGTAAGCACGTGGAATTTTAATGAAGTAACGCCGTGGGGGTGAATCGACGCGTGGAAAATTCTCCTTTTTCGGGCTTTCCGCCTCGAAAATCTCACGAATACGAAACCATTCGATTCTATTCATGAATAAAGTGGTCGACTGATTTTTTTTTATTGATTCTGATATTTATGAGGGTAAATATCGTATCGCTAATACCACAGTGCCAATTTTTGAATTAAAATATTTCCTAAACTAATGGTTTCTCGGTATAAATAGGTTAATAATTTTTTAAAGAGAATGACGAGCTACATCGATCAATGCATTCAAAAATATATGGTATTGTTTAAAAAAATAAAATTGACCTTCATATGTCCTCTACGCCTCCACCTACAAAAAAACTATTAATATCAAATTATGCCCCCCTTGATACCATTCAACTTTTGTTGGAAACACTTTCCACTATCATAAATGATTTCAGAGATATTCGAGGGGATCGATTTAAATGGGACTCTTGTACTTGCTCTTCTCGATCAAAAATAAATATCCCAATTGCACTGGCCTATTGATTGTTAATAATTTATAGTAAAGAGGTTCAGAGGTGACTCAATACAGATGTGAACAGAATCTAACTTGTAAACTTGTTAACTCTTCTATGTTGTTTAATTTATCGATTTTGCTAATTTTCGTAGCTTATCAGTTTCTCGTTTATTTATTACAACTCGATCTTCTTTCGATTTAATATTATTAGAGGAGCGTACGCATATACTATATTTATGAAACCCCGCGAGTCGACGAAACTGTTCTGAAGAAGGCATGATTCACCTGGTATTCCGTAACCGGCCGGAGATTTCTCCTAATAGTCTTTATAGAAATTTTATAGAAATAACGCTCTAATTACGCTCGTCGTCGCAATCTTGCCCGCGGCCTGTGTTCCATGTAAATTTTCCTCCTTGAAGCTCGACAATGAAAAAAATTATCCATTTCAACGTCCGGTTGTTCTCTTTCTCGGCCGACAACCCGTAGTTTCCGTTGAGAAAATATCCGCCCACTTTAGTAGTGTTCTGTACAAGGATCTGAAACTTATAGTAAAAATTCAGTGACACTTCATTATGATGTTCAGAAGTCAATTTAAAATCGAAAATACCAAAATGTTAAATTATTTTATAGAGCATAGTAGAATCTTAATTATCAAGGAACTGTTTATCCGAACGTACCTTAACGTCCACCGTTCCAATATTTATATACAGCGAGTCACAGAAATATTCGTACCCTCACAATTCTTGAATTCGAATGACTAATAATTCTTCAACAATATATATATTTTGAAATGTTTATCAATAGGGACATATAGTGCAATAACTGGGCTTTCGAATGATTCGTCGTTAATTGAAAAATAAGAAGTTATAGTAATATAAATGAAAACTTATAGTAATATAGTAATATAGTCAATACAGCAATATAGCAATATAGCAACATAGCGATATAGCGATATAGCAATATAGCAAAAATATAGCAAAATATAACAAAATATAGCAAAATATAGCAAAATATAGCAAAATATAGCAAAATATAGCAAATATAGCGATATAGCAATATATAGCGATATAGCAATATAGCCAAAAAAGGCAATATAGCAATATAGCAATATAGCAAAATATAGCAATATAGCAAATATAGTAATATAATAATATTGTATAATAAATAGCGATTTTTTGTTTTAACCTGTAATCGAGGTATTACTGTATTATAGAATGTTTAACACTCTGAAGACAACTTTAAAATGTTCAAACAGGATCTTAAATCTTCATTGATCGATTTATTATGTCATTCCGTGTACCAATGAGTAATCCGCTATTTCTCAACGAACTCGGTATTCAATTCTATGGAAGCCAAGTATCTATACCCTTTCATTTCTATTCGTAATCATTCTCCGACATCCTACACACTATTCTTTACTCGGTGAAAAGTCAAGATAATTTAAAGAAAATAATGTACTTATGTTTAAAAATAAAAATAATGGATTACTTATTGGTACCTACACTTAATATATTATTATTCGTTGCATATATCAGCGACTTCGATTTCAATTTCAGATATCGCTGGTGAACGGTCACAGCCAGCCGTGCCTCGAGTACGGATGTCCAGGACGACCGCAGTTCGAACCGTTTGTTCCTGCGCCGCCAGGTCACACTCCTAATTGCGCGAAACCTGGACAAACCTTCTGCGAGAGCCTCGATCATTATCCCAGGTAAGCGCCCCGAATGCTCGATCCGCGAAAAAATGGCAAGTAAAAAACGAAAAGTATGACGGATAAACACACCTGGCCTTCGTCGGAACTGTTCGGAATGTGTAATTAAATTAAGGAAAGAAAAAATGATAAATTCGAAGGACTCTTTTTACTCCACGAAATATCGAGGTCATCTTGCGGGTCTTAGAACTTCGCCAGGAATTCATTTCGTTGTTATCGATCGAAACTGGTTCCATCGTTATGAAAAATCGTGGATAATTTTATTATTGAAAGGAACGATATAAAGGGCTTTCCAACAGGATCTAGGCGGCCAATTGACTGCAGAATTACGCGAAATTATTCGATCAAAAAATTTCGTTCGCCATAAATTCATTGATTCCGAAATTTTTCGATATGTAGTTTCCACAGTTCCACTATTTTCGTATTGGATTTTAATTATTTTTATGCGATTTTCGATTGAAATTGAAGACATTGTAATAAATTGTAAAACAAAGTCCCTGTTGAAAAGCCCTGTATTTAGAAATTCCAAAACGATCTTAGGCGACTTCCAAGATGATATCGTTTCAGGGCGATTTCGCGATCACGAATTATTCCGGGTACTTTCCCTTCCCGAAATTCGTCTAATTCGTATGCGGACGCAGTCGTCGGCAATGCCGTCGGGAATATTAATAAACGGCCGGTGAACCGTATTTTTGTAAATTCCTCGGCGAACACGGAAACATTTTTTTTTTTTCGGAAATTTCTCGCAGCGGGCCTGGAATCGGTGAATTCGTTTCGTACTTTCGCTTTTTTATTCTCTATTCGTTCGGTCGAGTGACAAATATTATTATATACAGGGTGTTCACGCTATTACTAGCCACCGTTTTTCGTGCAAATAGTAAATATTAGAATAACAAGAAAGTGGGAAGAATAATTACTGTTTTTTGGAAACAACTTATTGGCATGTGTAATTGAAGGGAACCTTCAATTCTTTATATGGAACGCTGTATATATGTTTTTTATATCATATGAAAGCATGTGTTAAGACGAATTCATTCGTATAAGACTCAATAACCTTCAAGGTAATACAAGGTCAGAGATGGAAGAAAGATTTATAATATTTCGTAGTAATATGTTATCTTAATAAGTACATTTTTTTACACTTGATGAATTGAACAGTACCAATTTGTTCAAATTTTTTATACCGAACTCCGAATTGTTTGCTCTGAAGGTTGGTTGTATTGGCCGAAGGAATCACGAATTTCACGAAACGTAGTTTTTATAGGACGCTGATTTTCGTAACAAGTTTGAATAATTTTAATTGTTTTGATGTGTACCTATTCATGGTTATATTGGCCTAACATTCAACCTGTCAAACATAAAAATCAAAAATATTAAGAAATGTCAAGGGTTGACAAAATATCAAATGCCAAAATCATAAAGGTACTATTGGATAACCCTTTACAAAAAACTAAAAGCACAACCAATGACATCGATTACATTCAACCGAGCATAATTCATTCAGCCTCCATTCGTCTTGCACAATCCGATTCCTGTGAAGCGTTCGTCACGCAACCTGTGTGTTCAATGAAACACCTTTCCTCGTTCAGCGGCAACAAAAAAAAAAAAAAAAGAACGGGAAAGGTAACAACCGTGATGCAATAGTTTTTTTGCCTCGATTCATGAAAAAAACAAGAAAAACGAAGAATCGTTTCGGTGTGCTGGCATAGGACGCGCGTGGAACAATACGCGCGAGCGCTCCGCATCGCGAATCTATGATGTCAGATCTATTATCGCGTTTAACATGATAATACACTGGCTCTTGACAAGCCGCGCGAGAATGAAATGTAGGGTAAATGTTCCAATTACCGCCCTATAATTGCCATTTTATTTATTTTACGTTAATAAGAACGTAACGTATAAAGAATTGCGTACAGAAAATTTTTTGGTATTAAATTCGGTCTCTGATTTACGTGAAAACAAAGAAATACGAGTACTTGTTTGTACGTGGCAATTAAAAATTAATGTTAAAGAAATGTTAATATATATAAAAATTAATGTTAAAGAAATGTTAATATATTTCAGAATTAATGTTAAAGAAATGTTAATACATTTTTGAATTAATGTTAAAGAAATTAAAAGTGTTACTTGAACGTCGAAAAAGCAACTACAGACCCCTCTCGATTATTGTCCCGAACTCGGATCCGCGCTGTGACAATAATCGCGTAGGGAGAAATGCTTCAGACAACGTTTCTCAGTGCTGCTGAAGCGTTGACAGCATCGTGACCAGTAGCAACACCTACGGTAACGATTAGAAGCTAATAAAGACTTGATCCCAGTGCACAACATGCATCATTAAAATGCACTGTACATACATAAATCTCTAACGTCTGAGTGCTTTCCTCAGTCGCCGTGTATTAACCAATCGTTCAACGTGGGAGTAGACCTTGATTCAATGTTCTAGTTCGACCTTAAACAGACACTAATTTATTCGATGCGTTCTCAACATATGGATATCGAAAATTCCACTGATTTGTATAACTGGATATGGTATACGGTATCTTAGCATACTGCAGATTCTTTGATATTTCAAGACCGCCATCTTTAACAAACAATCGTTTTTTCTTGAAAGAAAATTGAAAGTAAGAGATAAAACCAATAAGAACGTACGGTTAGTAGGTAAAACGTTCATTGGGTCAGATTCGAAAAGGAAAATGTTTTAATTTTTACAAACTTTCCAGCTGCGTATTCCGATCAACGATTATCCGTGCAAGGTACACACTACGAACAGAAAGCGATCGTACGGTTACGTAAAGAACACGGATGGCGCCGTAAATGAGATTGTTGGTTACGTCGATTCCGATACGGTTAATTCCTTGATCATCGTACCGTGACCGTGGCCTTGACGCGGTCATGCCCTGCTAGATAATTATCCAGGGTGCTGGTGTTACGATCGATTCTATCGGTGGCTATTCGATGTTTCATCGATCCCCGCGGAATGCAACGAGATTTATCGTGGTAAACGATCGTTAGTAACGTCACGGATTTCCATCTCCATTTTGCGTGTGGTTTTTCATCGGTTACACCTGTTGCCCGAATGATTCTTGCCGCTTGCAACAGGTTTGTATACGGGCTGTCGCGGCAAGAATTATTTGAGCATTGTGATCCTCGGTTCGATTCAATGATCCGGTATTAAGGTTACAAAATTATTTACTTTGCCATGGATATTTAGATAAGAAATGTTGGCGAATATAAGAGAATTGAAATTTTTCGTTTGGAAATTCACAGTTTTAGTTGATTAGAAAAAAAGTGTGGCTCTGAAGTACAATTAAGAATGATAATACAATCAATGAAAGCAATTTTTCTGAGATTTTTTTCTTCATTTAATAAATATGTAATTAATATTATAACTTGATATAATGTTACTTTAAATTTTCCTTATTTATAAAAATATATTTATAGCTCTCGAATAATTTTTAAATTGTTGTAAGGGACAGGTTTGGCTCTTCCGTCTCAAAAGTTTGCCGACCCCTGGCATTGGTGATGTATACAGGGTGTCCCAAAATAGCTTCGACTCCCGGAAACGAGGGGTTCCTGGGATAATTTGAGATAACTTTGTCCTTAACAAAAATGTTATCCGAGGCTTTGTTAACGAGATATTAAAATAGATTAAACCTTCAGGTTGTAATTTTAATAATGCAGTGAATTGCTCTAATTCACAAACACAACTATCCTGTAAATCTTTCGAATAAACTTTCACTAAATTTAGAGCTTTCACTTGCATTTCATCTCTGTCTGGGTTATTGTATATAAATCCAAATAAATCAATGATATCAGTATAAGCTTTACTTCGCTTTTTTAATTCTGCAATTAACTTATCGATTATTAAATAAATTTTCTAATTATTTCAAAAGGGAAACAGTAAACAAAAATTTATTCAATTATTTTTTGACATACATAAATTGATGGCTTAGAATGGGGCTCTCCTGGAAAGCTTGTACTAAATTTTGTTAGAATCAATAGACGATTTCATCGATATATCTAATAATAGCTCGTGTCCAATACAAGCCTCAGACCAATCGCTCATAGGAAGAGAAAATAGTATATACTATCTAAGCGCATACATTACTAAGAAAACACGCTAATACGGTCCATTAAAAATAACGGTAGCGCTAGAACGCATTAAAGTACCGTTCGAGGATATTCGAGGTCAATCGGTGATCTTCTGATTTCTGTCGATCGACGATCCCACATGTCTATTCGAAAGTCAGCCGATGTGTAGGCGAAACGGGTAAATTTCTGGTCATCCAATTTTTTTCTAAACGACTAATCGCACTTTTATCAAAGTTTCTTTTTTAAATCGTGTGTCTTTGAATGGGGAATCCCCAACCATATAAATATTTTTTTTTTAAAATCATTTGTTTAAATATTATATTAAGAAATTTGATCTTTTTCTTTAATTTTTCTTGTTAAGTAATTGAACCTGGCGATTTTCATGGTGTCAAATATGTGGTAGCTTAAAAAGGATGCTAATTCCCTCGAATCTATATAATTTTTACAATAACGAGATTGTAAAAATTGTGCGAAACATAAATTCAATGCGTTACGTACTTTCTCCATCGATCTAAACACGATTTATTCGTGGGCTCGCAGATGGTCGTAGAATATTTTTGCAATTTCTTGAAGTAGAGACTTCGCGGATTAACGTGGCGCAGATTGTTTTTTGGAACTCATTGAATTTTTTTACTGTATGAATTAAAACAAGAATTTCTTCATAGGGTAAAATTTCCAAAACTAATCGTTGAATTCTAAATTTCTGAATGCTAGAATCAGTAACCAAATATATGTATGTACAATTTTAATTCAAAGAATAGGTGCCTCGAGAAGTGTACATGAAAATCGTTCAAAACTCAGGTTTTAAACAATTTTTTCATTGCAATTTCTTGTTCCATAATATTCAATGATTATAAAACAAAAATGTCAAACTTCGAAATTGAAATTTTCGTCCACATCGTTATAATTTTACACGGTTCCGTCCCCACTGCGCGACAGGAAGCAGTTTCTTGATCGGGATGCAGCCGGTGATTCTTGAATAGCGGTGACGGAGCAACCGAGAAAACAGCTTTTAGGCGTGGATCCATGAATTATTTATACGTATGTACATTGGGATTCGATCTCTAGCCCCGTCGTCTTTCACCGTTCGGTGAAAGTTCCACCGGTCAAGGCGTCGCTAAAAAATTCGCTCGGTGTTTATACACGGTGTCCCAAAAAGATGGGACGATCCCCGACACGTGTATTCTCCGTGCAAATAGAAATCGAAAAGTCCTTTACCGTTTTGTAATCCGAAGCTCCATTTCCGAGATATTAACAGTTAAACGAACTCCAAACAGCTGAGCGCTCGGCCACGCGTATGCGCAGACTGCTCAGCTGATTGGAGTTCCTTTAATTGCTAATATCTCGGAAATGGAGCTTCGGATTACAAAACGGTAAAGGACTTTTCGATTTGTATTTGCATGAGGAATATCCACGTTGCGGATTATTCAATCTTTTTGGGACACCCTGTATATCTGTGCGTGCGTGTGTATGCGCGGGTATTTCGCGCGTCTTCGCGTGAAATTCTAGGTCGACGAAGTTACGATTGGCTTTCCCGCGAACCTAACGATCGATAACAACTTCGACACACTTTTAGTCGTCTCTTCGTTGCTGATCGATTTGCACCTGTCGATTGAAGAAAACTGATTAGGGAGCTTGTCTAAAATTTTCGGGAAAATAGGCACTTTTTGAAGTCTTTTCCTTTTTTACGGAACTAATGAGAGACAATCGAATGGGGGAGAGATTTTGCGATCAATTGGACTACGTGTTGAGATAAAATTCATATTTTGAGTAATATGAAAAATATATACCGATTTAATGAATATTTTTCTTTAATATGGATAAATCTTTGAAACTTCAGTAATCTTGTGGACCTCGAAACACGTTGAATGCCACAGTCTAATGAATAATAATCCAAAACGATTAATTGATGTTTAATCTTTAATTTGAAATCATACTTTTGGGAGTCTAGTAATCTAGTTCAGTGCACGATGGATTATGTTCTCGTCTAAAATAGCACTTGGTATATTATTCGAAGGGAAAACTAACAGTTTTAGTAAAGTATAAAAGTAAAATTATTTATGTTTATCTAATCTGTCAGAATAGAAGTATTCCGATTGTTCAATAACCGTGAGTATTTTGGTTGCCTACACAAGGGTTAAACCGGATTCTGCTCGAGGAAGTGTAGTTACTAAAGTCGGTCGCGTAAACTTCGATAAACGATGGGAATCTGGTTTCCGTGGGTTCATGAATGATGCATGGGGAACGATAAGGAATTTTTTATTCGACTGTAACCGACACCCGTTGAAGTTAGGTCAAGGAACCGTGATCTCGATGCTGGATTCCCGGCCCCTGTATCGTGGCAAATGTCGACGGATAATTTGCATCTCGCGGGGTCGCAGGTCGAGAATCGTTCCGAGAGAAACTATTGTCTCGCGGGTTTTCTTTTTTTTTTTCATACACGACATATGTCGTTTGATTTACATTGTCAATTTCAATACTGATTTCTAGTCTTTTTTTCATTTTTTCTTTTTTGTCATATACGACATATGTCGTTTGATTTACATTGTCGATTTCAGTACAGACATCTAGTCTTTTTTTCATTTTTTCTTTTTGTCATAGACAGTTGATCAAGTTTCTCGTGGACAAATGCAGCTTCGATTTTGGTTCAGTGCTGAAGGATGAGTCGAAGGAGGACTTCAACATTTATAGGTGAGTACCTGCTATTTTTCTTTTTCTTTTTGTCATTGATCACTAGCAGTTTAAGAACAAGTTAGTTTGATTATTAATCATCTAGGGTAATACAATAACCGAAATTTCTATAAAATCATCATTTTTTAAAATATTTTCAAAATACCACCAATTTTATTGCTCGATCGTCTCCGTTTGGGTATTTTCATTAAAAAGAAATGAATGCTACACTGAGTATTAACATAGAAATAATGAAAAACAATTTCATTTTCAACTGTACTTACATAAAAAGCGAATGACTTTATAGAAATTTCAAAGTTTGTTTTCTGTTGACTTATATATATATATTTTTTTTATATAAATGTTATATTAATTTTTTTAAACCGATGTGGACGCTTTCTTTAATTAATTCCAAAATGCTACCAAACACAAATTTTTCATTGGTATGGAATAATTATAAAGAATTCATTAAAAAATACTTTATAGAAATTTCGGCCAGTTTAATCCACTCTGTTGTCTATACGCGATTGCTTCGCCGTGAAACCGATCAAGGTCAAGAGAATTCTGTTCAAGGTCAGTCCCAGATTACTCCGAGGGTTACGATTACACCCCACGAGGAGAGCCGCAATTACACTCGCAGGCGTTACCGTTCCTGCCGTCTCGGTATCCGCTCCGAGGGCAGCCGACTTTAATTTATGGAGCACCGTCGAACGACACTCAGCAGAGCGGGTAATTTTAATGCTAATTCAACGCCAAGACATTAGTTAATCAGTTCCTTGTTTGTCCCCTACCAGCAATCGTTTTGCTCGACACTTTCACAACCGGTGGGATACATATCTACAGGGCTGTTCCTAGATTATTGGCTGCCCGGATGCAGAAACAATATGGCCTTTATTAATTTAATATTATTTAATTAGTGCTGTGTTAACTTTCATATCCATACAAACGTATATTATATCTATATAAAAAAGGAAAAAATGAAAAAGAAAAAAGCGTAGAATAATATGGTGCTAAGAAATTGTCCAAAATATAATTTGTTTGTAACAAAAAAATTTCGGATCGAAACTTCGATGGGTGGTTTCACCCCTTAAAGTCGAGTCTCAGCTGATAAAGAAAAAAATACGTATCCCTTATTTTTGACTGCTTAACAGACATACGAAGTTTCATAAAAATCGGTGGTGGACATTTCCGTGCCTTTCCTTGTCAGTCAACCAAGAAGGGGGTTAGAGACCAGTGACGGAGTCTTAAAAAATTTGATTTTATTCACTCGTAAGTTTTGTGTTGTTCGTGAAGCAGGTGTCTTTTGGAACACTATTGACCAGTTACAGGTACGGTGCTCCCGATCAGACCTCGAGAAATCCGTTTCTGGCCGATGAAACGAGCATCAAGTACCATCCAGGCGGCCACCGTGGATCTGGTCGTCCAGTCTATCCGCAGACGCAATCCTTGAACTCATTCGGACAGGGTCAAGCATGGTGGGCAAACAGGTGATTATTCCGGGAGGTTACTCGCCTGATAACACTGTTTAACCTGCCACGGTCTGTTACCGGGACCATTTTATTTCCCCTCTTACGACCCTTGACACGAGTCAAGGATGACGGGACAGCTTTGCAGGAGGTTTGCGTCGTGAAATTGTGGAGGAAAGAAATTCCGTATGTACAAACAGATCAGGGAACGAGAGTGGAGTTAAAGGAATGCGTCTCTTAACCTTCACTCTGTGCATAGTAAATTTTCCATGGTCTGTGCAAGGGGTCAAGCTGACCCCACATATATTTTCATGTATTTTGTAAAGTTTTTTTTTTTTAAAAATAGTTATTTCTATTTTATTTTTATTAATTCGTAAGAAATATTTTTTTTAGTAATGTGTCTGTAAAACCTTAGTTAAGGCAATTCTAATTGCCTGGGATATTTATTTGGTGCAAAAATTTTTTACGTCGCATGTTACAATGACTGGGGTCTATTTGACCCCAATTCATTTTGAAGTATGAATACGAAATTGTAGCTAAAACAGTACACTATATACTAGTGTTATTTAAAATTATGGTACTTACAAGGTGTAAAATGAAATTCGCTTGAAATAGCACGAAAAATAATGATCACGCGAAACGACAAACAAATTAATTACCTGTTTCACTGTTCTCGCACATTTGATTTCCGTTCCTTAAATCAATATACCCAACGGAAAATCTGTAAATATATTTCTTTATAGAGATACACAAATGGTTCGATCTAGGAGCCGGCCCAATATAGGCAACTCTCCTTTATATATATATTATGATTTATTTCATTCAGATACAGACGGGAGAATAAAATTACACCTGGCACGGTGCGCGAAAATCCATAAAGAGTCGCGAGAAGAGGCAGGCAAATAATCTCGAAGCGATCTCCCTTTGCCCGACGGATCCGCAGTACATCATGCCCAGGGCAGCTTTGAACAATCAAGGGAACTGGATGTACGTGGTTAATCTTCCGGACCAGAATCAGAAGTATTCGCAAGTCGTGAGGAGCGAGAGGTGCACGTGAGTAATTGAATCGACACCTTAACGGAGTCGTATAGGACCGTCGTAGGACCCAAGGATCATGGTGTTGAATCAAAACAAAGAATTAGATTGATCTAGGATTGAGAAGCTTGAATTGGACCAACCCAGAAATCAGATAATCGAATTCTATCGATCTAGAACTCGAATCGAGTCGAATGAGGCTCCAGAAAATTGAATCGAACCAGTCACGGAAGATCTAGGACTAATTCTGGAGACATACGGACCCAAAGACACTAGCCCAGGGACCCACAGATCGAGGAACCCAAATCACGGGATTCTAGGACCCAAAATTCCCAGGTTTGAGGATTCCTGGACTTAGGGAACTTTGGGTCTGTTGGGTCTAGAGGATGTGAGGCCCTTAGATCGTTTAGTCCTTGTGTTCGGTGGTCTTCAAGCTTGGGTCCTTAAGGCTTAGGGCATTCTAGGATTGGGTCTTTATGTTCAGAAGTTCCCAGGCGAAGTTGCTTTGGATTTGGGATATCCTGGTCTTGGGTCATCGGGGCCAAGGGACCCCATCTTTGAGTCCCTTGGGTCTCTAGGGAACTCCATATTTAATTTTTTTGGTGCATGAGTCCGCTAGCTTTAGTCCTTGGGTCCGGGAGACCTCGATCATAGGACTTTGGGTCTGAGGCTTGGGACTTAATGTCACAGGAACTTTTAATTCAATCGTTTTAACAATTTTTATTATTTTTTTCCAGGACAACTGTTTGCAACGGTATCTGTTCCGTTCCCACAGGTTATACCAGTAAGTGTCAACAGCAATATGTACAGAAAAGACTAGTTGCATTAGAAGGAAGCGGAAACCAACTTTATACAGACGTGTTTTGGTTCCCTCACGGCTGTTCCTGTCAGATTATGTTGAATTATTAAAGAGCTGTTTCGTTCTCGAAGACGAGTTATTCTATTGAAACTGAAAGTCCACAGATGACACAGTATTATGGTGTTCTTGTAATCAATTATGGAGAATAAGGTATACGAAAACCGAGAAGTCAGTTCTGCGAGTGGTTTGGGGAGAAACAAAGTGAATGATGCCAGAAAAATACCCGAAAATGATCTACGGGTTCCTATATTAGAACGCATAGGAAGCTAAAGAGGATACGTTCGAAGATCTAGAAAATATACAAGTTTGAGATCTTAAACATATTTACTATTTATTGACACTTGAATCAACATCTGCCCATTTAGCTAGTTTTTATACGCTATCGTAGTTAACGATCATTTTAACAAAATTGATGAAATATTTCGATAGTATTTTGTATTAATAAATTAACGGCACGTTAAGTAGTTTGAATATTTAATGTCCATCCATACTATTTTGAAGTACAGCAGAAGCTCGATAATCGATCGTTTCGGGGCTGTAGAGAACAAAATTTCCAGGAACTGTTCAATTAACGAGCTCCAATCACGCTGTCTCCGTCAATCGACCGTTCATTTGCTCGACGTACATACACTGACGTGCAAACTTAGCTTCCACTAGGAAAAAAAGTGGCGTAGGGAAACGAGTTCCTACCACTTGGTTTCAAAGGTTTCAGAAATTTGTGCAAAGTTAATATTCGTTTTAACATTTATTTCAACACTTGAATTAAATTTAAGAGTGGTAGGATGCTCTTACCACAGACGAGATATAAGAATAGACCTTTCATCTTATGGGAGTTGGTGGCCCATCTAAACTGTCGTACCGACACCTTAAAAAATCTCTGATTTTAGCGACCTCTACGTTATGAGAACGGTGAATCTGCGGTGGGTAGTGACACTATAATGGAAATGGGGTAACGTATCCCCAGAAAAGTGGGCAGCAAAAATACATTGAATGAAATGTCTAGTCCTATACCTAATCTGTGTCCTTACCCTTACGCCACTTTTTCCCCAGCGGAAGCCAAGTGTACTCGTATACACTTACCTTCTATCGCATCTAGATACGTACGATTTCTACAGTTGGTAATGTAGGCAAAAGTGCCTAAATTGACCAAGAGGTAAATTAATTACTTATGATTTTCATGTGTCTTTATTAAATAAAATAAATAATAAGATATTATTATCAGACACTATGTATGTTGCAAAAGAATAAATGGCGACTGTTGCACAAGTTACAGATGGTAATTCAATGCTATTACCGCCAGATGTCGCTAGTTACTTGAAATCTCAATTGCCCGCACGTACATTCAAAAAACAATTGTACATGATTCGTACTGTTTAATCCCCGCAGAGATATCTACAGTCGTGAAATGATTTTTTTTTTATTCCTTTCATAAAAAGTTATATTTTGTTTCATAAAACCGTCAGTTGGAATCAAATGAAACATTTTCCCCTCTAAAACGATTCCGTGAACCAGACCCCGTTGGAGTTCATGGACCATCGATCGCCGTCACGGGAACTCATGAAAATTGCCTCCTAAGTATAGCAATCGTCACTTTGCCCCAAGGTCGATAATCACGACGCGCTTTTACGTTTTCCGTGAAACCATCTCGCGCAAACACAAAGCAATCGCTGGAAAACTCTTACGCATTCTAACGTACTTCCGTTACGTAGAGTTATCACTAGACAGCCGGAAGTTTATGCAAATTTCAGACTGGAATATCTAAAAATTGAAATGGGACGGAATTTTGAATTTTGTATTGGACATTTCACCACATTGTAGGAAGAATATCCGAATAGTATTGGACTTTATTGGATTTTCTTTTAATGAATATTGTAAAAATTTTAAAAGTTCCACGGTTTATATTTTAAATCTGTTCCCCAGAACCAGAGTTTATTAAATCACATTTACCAAACTTCAGAGAACAAATCGAAGGTGTAAAAACCTTGTAATTTTGAAAGCCTTCGATAAGAATTCAACGAGAAACAATCGCTGCCTTTAAACTATTGAACATTCCATTAAGTCTCAGCGCCTGATCAAGGGGTAGTTTAGGGGCTCTGTAGCCCCAAGCCCTACGTTCCAAGGGGGCTCCGTTCTGAACCTTCCATTTCGTTATGATTAAACGTTATTTAATTATATTTAAAATAAATTTCAATTTTTGAAGATTTTTATATTTTCCTATGCTGTAGTACAAAAATCCCCCTTCCACCCCCCGTTTTCAGGGGCCTGATAAGTCCCCAATATGATGGACTTTACATTCTTTGGCTCGAAACAAAATATGAACTTAATATCATTTCTACACTATTATATTAACGAATAATTAAATATAATTTTTACCATCGGAAGGAATGCAAAATTTGATACAGGAAACATGTAAAGTATCAATTTTTTTTAAATTGGATTTAACACCTCTTGGTCCAGAAATAGAACGTGTTAAAACAGTTCCATTAACATTTTCGATCCCTGGTGAAAATTCTTCTCTGCCTGTCGAAACAAATCCCCTGAACGCCGTGATTGAAACGCCGTTGCACGTGAAACAAGCGCGGCACGACACGCTCTCGGGGGCTTCCGGTCGCGGGGAGGAAAAACGAAAGCCGAGCCCGGCGGCCAATTTAACGGGCGGGGATCTAGATCGACCAGACAAGAATATCGCGCGAAACGGGAAGCGATTCAACGGGAGACGGTAACTGGTTATCAAGGACGGAACGATATATAGGTTAAACCTCGTGTGTCGCGTTCTATGGACGTAGTAACGTCCAAAAGTTTCTGGCCTGAGCAACAACAAAATATCGAATAAATGGAAAATGTTTATTATTTTCCAATATGGTCTCCCTTTACTGCAATACATTTGTTATAACGAAAAATTAACATATTTCTGGACGGAAAATAGTTGCTTTTGCCCCACTGTACAAGAAAAAAATTGGATTTTGCTCCCCCTCCCCTCACCCTTGCCAGAGTTATACAATTTTTGCGTAATATTTAATATTGCAGATAATTTGAAACACGACCACCAGTCTCTATTAATAAATGACGTTATTTTGTCATGTGTAAGTAAATTAAGATGAGGCTTCGTGATTTTTACTTTAAAAAATTTTCATTTTTAATATTTATCACTCAACTTTTACCACTAAGTCAATTTGATACCAAGGGACAATTTAAGTTGGGAAAATGAGGGACGGATAAGGGTTAACAAAACGCATACAATTTTCAACAATTTATGACTTTGAAAAAAAAATAAAATGTGTCTGGCTACGTACAGCCTTTTTCACTGTGCGTTTTCTAGCCAAACAATCCCTCAAAATTACTCTATGTGTCTCCATGTATTCGATCTCGAAGTCGAGAGACTACGTCGGAAAAAGGAGCAAAAACGGCGTACACGCGGAAACATGGTGGTTAGGGAGAGGGGAGGAGACGCCAAGGGAGGAATAACTGCTAGGAGGTCAGACACGCGCAGGATGCGTAGAATTTTCTCGCCGCGAGGCCGTCACGCGCACGCAGCGCACCCTTCCTCGTTTTACGCGGCCTTTTACGATCGCCCCGAGTTTTCAACCCTCCGTTACGGCGGTTCCTTTCGGCCATCTTGCCGGCTGTGGCCCGGGAAGCCATTAATTACGAAAATGTGATCACGCCTAGGGAAATCATTCTTGGGGTGGGCGAATATGATAAGGGATGGATGATTGTTGGACTGTAAATGTTTATGGAAATATATTATCGTTTCTTTTTTTAACACTAGACTTGTCAATACACTCTTACAACGACGATTAAAATGTTATGACTAGACTGCGGATTTTATGCATTTATAACCTATAGGGCTCTGTGAAATACAATAAAAAACAAAACTTTCATCGGATCCGACAAGTTTTCAATTTTATTCTGAACCCAATAAAATACTTAAGATTGAAAATACATTTCTACAATTGCTCCTGTCTTTATAAATTACTTTAGAAATTTTTATCTTGCATAAAAATCCGCAGTCTAGCCGTCAGCAATCGTGAATATATTTTTTCTTTCCGCATCGGTATTTTCTCGATCGATGGAACAATTAGAATTTTTTGATTTTACAAAAGTGTAGGGGATCGGTTGGAATCGACAGTGTTTCGATCGAACGACCGTTTATTTCGCTGGACGGGGAAATTCGCAGCCATTGAAAATTACTTTAGATTGAGGAGCATCGAATGGGACGACGCACGCGCTCGGAATATTTTCGACGACCCGCGCGAACGTCGCACTTCCGGCTTTCAATCCGGCCGCGGTTTGATTGCAATGTAGATTATCGAAAATTCCACGCACAATATATACTTCTTCTGGTGATTATAAAAATGATGTAAAAATCTACCTGTACGCAAAACAAGAAATTAAAAAATTGTTAAAAACTGTTAAACCTTCGTGGACTGTTCGATAAATTGTTTCATTAATATTCCTCGAATTGAACTTCGGTTAATTATAAACTAGAATCGAATTAATCCTATAACGGTAAGTGCGACGTTTTCGTAATGTTTGGTTAGATTGTTAAAACTAGGGACTGTATATTCGTGGATAATGTTGTATGGTGATGTGTAAAAAATATATTGTTTCAAATTACCCCTTTCAAGGACTTACAACTATTTTGGGACACCCTGTATAACTGCCACGCACACGACAATAGCTGCAGATGGGTCAAAATCAAACTCGAAATAATCTTCTCCAGGCATTGAAAATTAATTGAAAAAAATGTCCATTGATTTATACGTTGTCGAATAAATTTTCAAAGGCAAACTGACGTCTGTCATTGATAGACTAGGAGCGTTCTCGATGTGTATATAAATATTCGCGAGTCTAAGCAATGGTAACCGTTCTTGAACTCTGTTACGATTTATGGTCATGACGCAGTGTATCTATGTTTACAGTACAATGGAATGTCTTCTTACCTGTATTTCGGATTGCAATGAAGCGACCAGTCGTTCCGCGGAACTCTACGAGTCTTCCTACAAGAGTAGTTCTCGCGTGGATCGGTCGACTTTACGCGACAGAAAAT